TATTTATTACGCACACTTGCCGTTGTATGGATATTAGTAAAATAAATATTTAAAGTATAGCACCACAAAACTTATTGATCCATATATAAAAGTCATAGAATATTTATTTTTCATGGAAATTGTACTGCATAGTGAGAATATTAATTTACTACACTATAATGCGTTAAACAATTTTAAATTTTAAAATAATCATAATTGGAGTTTTAAATTCAAAATATTCTTTTAAAAATCTTATTTGAGGCACTAGATAATATTCATACTTTAAATTTAACTATAAGTTAATTTGTTTTAAGTATATTAGTAATATAGTAAAATACCTTATTTATGTAAATTAAAATATATCAATTATTTTAATCCATATGACAATTTTTATCATGATATTTTTAAATTTTAATTACAATTTAAAATTCCTAACTTTATTTCTAATTTTGTAATAATTAGTTGAATAGTGAAGTAATGGTACTTTAAATTATTTATTTAATAATCATTGATTGGTTTATTTATTTTGTTGAATTTTAATGAAACAATTTAATTTTTCATTAAAATTGTTGTTTGATGTAGATAATGGAAGTATTTTACTTGGCACCAGATAGCCTGTAGTTGCATATACTATATTACTTAAAAGTAGATAAAAATATTACAAAACTGTTTTTAGCCACATGAAAATGGGATGTCTTTTAGGTTTATTTGTATCAGCCTTACTTAACTAAACATTGATTGATAATCATATTAACTGTTTCATTTAAATTATTAACATTAGCTGGTAAGACATTTTATTCTTATTTTGTTTTGTCTAGAGTTATAATAAATTAAATTGACATATATTTTTCATTATAAGTGCAATTGCATCAATATTTTGGGCTTTGATTACTCAATTAAAAGGCTAGTTTATATTTTCATCAAACTTCTGAACATACATACATAAGAGATAATACAGGTAAAAGGCATATTCTTTCATAAACAAATTTTCAATTTATTTTACTATTTTATTAGTTGTTTTATAAGCTTAAACATACAGTAGTAGATGATGTATTGAATAAAATATAATGCATTATTTTCTAACTGTTTTCCAATTGGCTAAGTATATTAAGTGTTTAGCACTAATAATTGAAATAATTTAATAACATTATTAAATCTAAGATTAATTACTATAGAATATACTATACACTATTAATGTGTAAGACACCCAGCAATCCTCCAATACTTTTTATATTGATTATACATTATTAAAGTTTATTACTTGTTACAATATATTATGATGATGATATTATTTTCTTCAAATTTGAACATTATAGTAAATATAGGTAAATAATAGCTGTGTATATCAAGTTTGTGATATTTATCAACTATTTTGATGAAAATTATTTTAGTTCTATTTACTAGTGGTTATGTTAGATGATCTTAAGTTTTGATTGATATGTAGCAATGTGCAAGGTCACGATTATAACTGGAAAAATAGTCTTGATCGACAATGGCTTATAAAAATACTATTACTATCAATTCTGCATGTAATGAAATCCAAATTAGTGGTTGCTGCGTTCTGTATAAAATTTTGAGTATGACACTTAATGATCTGTTGACCGTTTAGTAGTTTCTATAAGAGATATTTTATCATGTAATATTCATAGCTATTAAATTAAGATTATATATTCTGGCATTTTGTTGTGAAATTTTATTTGAAATGCATACAAAATTAATAAAAATAATTGTATGAAGAATTGTTGTTATTTAATATTTGAGCATTAATATTTAATAGTTTTGGGATTATTTTATTTTTAAGTTGTGTAATGAATGAGTAAGTGAGTTTATTATTTTCTGTAGTTGGGTGTAATGTAATTAATTTGTATAATATTTATTTTAATAATTTTAAGAAATTTTTATTGTGTCTACTAACTTATCTCGATTTTCATCTTTATCACTAATTATCAGATTGGTTTACATTTTCTATGTTTTACTTGTCATCTAATTTTATCATACCAATTGTTAGTCCTAAACTACTCTATTTTTCTATTTAATTATTTATACTCTAAAATATGATTATTGAGTAATTACAGTATTTAAATAATGAACAATAAAATAAAACACTATTAAAATTAAATAATTTTAATGCTGAGACATATAGAGATATAGCTCTCAGATATTGTTAACCTAATTATATTTAATAATACTATTATGTCATAGTACAATTATATATAAAATGTTTCAATTATTCTTATAAAGGGAATATGTTTTGCTTTCTCATCTAAGCGCAAAATAATATTTTGTACTATTTTATTGTAGATAGTATTGACATTTATTGCATGTAAATGTGTTAAATCTATAAATTTAAAAAGTTGATAATCAATCCGAGTTTAATATTGTTGATGTGACTAAATATTTTACACCTGCTTTTTATTTTATTATTTTGAGATTCATTCAATAATTTGAAAATTAGATTGTTTCTGGAGCAATATCAATATGTTACAGGTAGGTATACTTAATCTATAGAAACATTAGAAACATGGATTCTAAATATTAACATGTTTGAACTGCTTTTTGCCTTTTAATTTTTAAATAATTCATAAGGTGTATATGGTTGTACAATTAATAGCTTTCTAGTTTCCTGCTTGAAATCTAAACAATTTATGTGTACTAGAAAGATATTGTATATTTTGTTGTTTTATATTAAAACATTACTGTCATCCATTTTGTGATATAGATAATTTGCCATGTCGATGTTTTATAGTGAAAGGTCAACTTTAGGTTTAATTAACCCCAAAATCGTTAAATAATTGACAATACTTTTAAAACCCTTAATTCTGCCTTATGCTGCTCTACATTTAGATTGAATAAAAATATTAGCTGATAAGTGCAAGTATGTTGTAATCTGTGATAGGTGTGCTGCCTTAGTTTTAATCGTATATGTTACAACCATGCACTGCATCTTATATATTTTCTTAAAAGTACTAAGTGACTAGTGGTATACAATCGCTGAATTAAGGGATGACTGATCGTGGATCGATGGATATTCTGCTGACCCATGTTACGGATTGACTATTTCCGGTTGAGACTCAGTAATATATATTTATAATAGTCAAACTAATCCAGTTCGCTATTAAACTGCACGTAATTGACTTCAACGATTTAAGATCAACGCTTAAAAGCATTAGTTATATACAGGTGGTTTCCGTTATTTCATAATTGTTAAAAGAATTATTTGAAACCAGTATATTTGGTTTTTGGGGAGGGTAACCATAATATTTTTAATAATCGGTTAAATTTGAATAATCTTTGAATTTAGACAAATGAACTTAGTTTAAAATTATTTCGAAACGTATCGTTGATTTGATAAAATTTACCCTGCAATGGATAGATATGATTAATACTAATATATAGTATGAAGTTATTTTTGGTAATTCAGAGGTGTCCAGACATGGAGATACAACCCCCAAAAATGTAAAATAAAATACGCCAGTTCAGATAGTATTCTTTATTTGAATTATAAGGGGCGGAGACGCTCACCGCCAAATCTTGCACTCCATGTGCAATGTTCAGTAAGTCTATAAAATGCGTTACAAAGATTAATATTGGACGCTCCTATATTTATGACCAGCTCATAATAATATTAAGTTCCAAGGTCAGTAAGTCTGATCGCAATCTCCGTATAATGAGAATTAGTAGCGTCTTCAGTGAGCTATTTGAGGTCTTTGTCCACCCTGTGTAAAGTCAATGATAAATGTTAAGTCTGATTTATGGTAGACTTGTGTAAAATATACATTACGGTTTGATTGGTTGAGAAATGTTTGACTTATTTTTAGTTAATTATAGATGACAATTGTACAGGAAGTGTTATCGTGGTTTAACCTAAAATAAACTATTATATAGCACATGTAGTTTCTGACTCAATATTTTGCATTACTAATATGCATGTAGCTAAATCAATGTCTAATCATAAGAGTTTAACTTAAATAATTTTTGTTTGATTATGTATATGATAAATGTACATTCTGATGTTAGCTAAATTTATAGAAATACTAAGGTACGTATATTAGATGGGTATAGGATACATCTAGTACTGAATATATAATTTATATTTAGTTAAAATATTAATTTATTATTTCAGATTTACTTGAAGATGATATCATAAAACATGTTTATGATGATATATTAAAACCTATCAATATTCACTTTGTTAAATTCGAATTAATGATAATATTGCATTATACGAAAATAACTCCATGAAAGAGACAAAGATAGATTAAAGTAACTCTAACATCTTAGTTAGTATTTTTAAAATATTTCATAAAATACTTACATTATTATCATAGATTTGTTATTTAATATTGTATAACTTTAAGAAATGATGAATTGATTCTTGTATAAGTAGTTTAAAATTAATCTATATATTTGAAAATAATATAAGTAATATTGTAATGTTTCAAGTTTCTAATTAATATTTATTAATCTGCAAAAAAATAGTTATAAAATTGTTATTTTACGTTTAAATATCTTATAGTAAAAATTTAAACTTCAAATGTTTATAAAAAAAGTGGGCAAGTGAGTATCGCTTTACCTGCACATTAGATGTCGAGTAGGTCACTATTATAGTATCATGGGCATGTTAAATTTGAATTTAATGATCAGAGTTGGGCAAAATTTTATCTAGATAACTATTCGAATGATTTTTTCACAATTATTCGAATAATTTCTAAACATTATTATTCGAATAAAAAATTATTCGGATAATTTCTAAACGTTATTATTCGGATAATTTCAAACTGTTATTATTCAAATAAAAATTATACTAGGTAGTACAAAATATGTATCATATAATGGTAATAAGATTATAATTTATAAGTCTTCTAGTTAATAATAGCATTAATTATACTATGATATATTAAACTAAATTATTTTTTTTAATAATTTATTAAAAATTTAATAATAATTTTATTTATTGAAATTTAAAATTTGCTATATTTATTTATTTTCATTTTTGTCAAAATATTTATTTTCATTTTTGCCAAAATATTTATTTACATTTTTGTTATTACTATTTACTACTATTTATAATTGTTGTAATTATTACGAAATATTATTCATATTTTAATATTACTAAATTATTATTAAAAAAAATATGTCAAATTCTTTACTTTCTTCTATAGATTTATATCTGTTTTATACATAATATTTTATAATATTTTCATCATCATGTAATTTAAAATACCTACAATGCCAACTATTAGCCTGTTTTTAATTACCAATCCTATGGTTACCCAAACAAAATTAATGAAAATTACTCGAATAATAACGTTTTGAAATTATCCGAATAATAACGTTTGAAAATTATCCGAATAATTTTTTATTCGAATAATAACGTTTGAAAATTATTCTAATACATTTTTATTCGAATAATCGTGAAAAAATCATTCGAATAATAATTTATTCGAATAAAATATCATCTAAATAAAATTTCATTCGAATAACGCCCTACTCTGTTAACGATGTACCATTTAATACGAAAAACGATTCTGAGCGAAGACTGTCAGCCTATATCACAAAATTTATTTCATATATTTTTTTATAAAGTTATTATTCATTTATTTTACTTTTAGTTTTATAGTTGGTTGATTTAATTTTTTCCAAAAATACTGCTATTATTATACTAATTAGTATTTAATTATTATAATAATATGTTTATATTAATCTTGTTAAATCAACTTAAATAATTTAATAACATCTTTCTGTAAATATAAAAGAGTAAAAATATGTTTATAGTTTAAATAGATAATATCTTGAAATAAATTTAAAATATCATTGTGTATAGTAAAATTCATACTAATATAATATAATATGCGTTAATGATAAAGTCCTAAGGAAATTTGTTTGGAATTTTCTAATTCTTCTTTCTCAAAATACTAACTATATCAAGTTTCTATTTTGAAGATAAATTTAATTTTTCTGTTCTATCTGAAGTATTATTAATGGAAACTAATACATTCATCGCTCTTTTCTGATTCTGAGATTTGTATGTCTAATATTTTATGTGTCTCATGGTATTTCAATTGTGTGGCTTATGTATAGAATATTGGTATAATTATATTTTTTAAATATATGTTGTGTAGGCCAAATGCTTATTGATATATTGAATTTAAACATAAGCTAATAGCTACGATTTACCTAGTTTCTGAATTCATTATGGTTGTTGTATCTACTTTTAATTTTCTTATAGATTATTTATCAAAATAATTTATATTTTTAATTAAAAAATAAAACAATTTATTTGGCGTTGTTATACAAATTTCTTTTAATCTAAAAAAATTAATCCATAATCATAGACGGTGATTGAGGAGTGCTGGGGGGTTAGCCCCCACCCAAAAAAATGAAATAAAATCGAAAGTCTCCTAAAATTATTAAACTTTTTTAAAGTATTAAATATAGGTACCTATTTTGCAACAATGCAAAGAAAGATTTAAGCCCCCCTAAAATCCAGTCAAACATCTGCCTATGTCCAAAATGTTATTGAAAAATTATTCTCAAATTTTGTTGTATGGGGTTTATTCTACCACATTTTACATATTAAATTCACAGAAATTTTTTTCGGTTTTTTCGTACAATATGTATATATATATATATATATATATAATAAAATATTACTTAAATTGATATAATTATAATTATAAATGTATATGTTTGTAATTTTATATTGTCCTAATGAATATAACATAAAAAGTATTTTCTAACTGGCTGATCTGCTTATTAACTAATTTAATAAACTAAATTTAAACTCATGACTTTAACCATTAAATAGCTTTTTCAATATTAAATAAAAATATTTAATTTTTAATTTTGTATTTAAACATTAAAAAGATAAAAAATAAAAAGTTCTAATTATATGCTTTGTATAAATAAGTACGTATTTATATAAATTGTACTTATATAGGTACTAATAAAAATCAATGTTAAGGGTTGTAAAGTTTGACTAACATGGTGATTTGACATTTTTTTCAGAGTAGTTTATAAACAGCTATGTATTTAAAATACAATTTTTGCATATATAATATTTATGTGTATATATAAATATATAAATATATATAATTCATAGATGTTAATGTATCCAAACCTAAAACTGTGTGTCAAAGACTGTGGTCCGACTTCATTACGGCTTTCACAAACCGTTATGTTCTTCAGTGGTCCATCTGGTGGGCTTTAGGCACATGCTTTTATTATCAGGTTCGGATTAATTTTGTAATAATCAAGTTGAATTATTTATAAGAAATAAGACATTTATGTATTGGATGGAAATAATTTTTTTTTTAGTTTAGTTATTAAAATAATTATATTATATTATGATTATGATCTATAGGTTTATGCTCTGTTTCATCATGACTTTCTCATACACATGTAAAACCTTGTATCGTAAAATCTACAACAAAGCAGATATACATGGTAATTACAGCGTCTATATAATTCAAACGCTCATTTAATGTTCTTCTTATTTCTATTTTTGCCTAGAGTAAATCTTTAAAAAGGAACAGGCCGGACAGTTTCAGAATCAGAATTCAATTTTTTTTTTCAAAATAGGGTTGCTTATTTTATTTAAATTGAAATATCCACTATAAAATATACATTGCCATAATTTATTATACATTTTACTAGTTATTAGATAAATATATCAATATCACAATAATTTTATTTAAAACTTAATGATAAATGAAATCTTAAAAGATAAACTGTAACTGGTGTTAAAAATGTCCGACTTGTGTACTAATTTAGTCTGCCTCTATTTTTAACTTTTAACTTTTAACTTTTCAAAATTTTAAACTACAATAATTAAGATAGTATTACATTTGTAAAAAAATAAATTGATGTATTAAATATTTCATTACTTCCATATTTTTTTTTATTAATTGATAAAAACTGTTGATATTAATTTTTTTTTTTAAATCAAAAAAATTATTCTATGATGTTAAATTAATAACTCACATCGTTGTACTTTCGAATCTTTTAACAACATATTGATTAAAAAGTTGTATTTAAATTTTAAATAATGAAAAATAGATTGTATTTTAAATTTTAAACCAGTAATAAATTACGTAAAAATTCACAAAATCTATTTTTCTTGAAAAATAATTTTACAGCTTAAATCAAATTTTATTTTAAATAATTAGGTATAACGGGATTATTTTTAAATATAACAATTATTTTCATAATATTATTACTAAAGGTGTCTATTTTTGGTTTGCGTAGAGTTTACATATTTCCTTATGTTTTTATACTTTCTTGAGAGAGTTTACCCATTGTTCTAATGTATAGGGTTGATACTTATCGTGGAATACTAAAATGTCTTTGATATTAATATTATATGTTAAAACTTTTAATGACCACAAAAGGGATTTTCTTTTAATAACATAAACAATGTATTATTATTTTATTCTTTAACACTCTTATCGTAGATAGGCATATACATACGGTAGAGATTATATTTTGTATCTTTAGGTACCTATGTAAGCCTGATTTATATTCATGTATAATCATGTATTAGCCAAGTATTGTACTTAATATGTATCTGACAACAAAGACTAACCAAATTAAAATTAACATTTTTTGATGTTTAGAATAATTTATAGTAATTGATTACTTTTGAAAAATCAAAAAATAATTCTAAAAAATGTTTATTACAATAATCATTGTAAGTAATATTTTGTTCGCATCTTTTTACATTTATACATTACTTAATATCTATTTATGTATATACTGGAATTGGTGATTTTTATTATACTGATTTCATTAAATATTCGTGTATGCAGACTTGAGAAATTTAATACTTGGCCAAAAACTTAACTGAATCGTTGCTGTCGTATTATATTTAATAATATTCTTTATGTATAGGCAACCAGTACCAATTTTTTTCCATAAAATGTGTAGTTATTCCGATTAATTTATAGTACTTATAGCTTATTAATAGCTAAATAAATATAGTTTACCTTTTTAATATAAATAATGTTTTAAGAGACGTAAGTCACAAACGTTTTATAGTATATATATATATATATATATTTATATATACGTATAGGCCGTATAGCTGGTTATGGTAATTCATTAAATATTTTTAAAATTTGAAATAAAAAAATTAAGTCGTAGTTTAAAAATTTGAAAGTTGATTTAATTGTATAGTGTAATATTAAAACATTATCCATTAAAGTGAAAGTTATAATTTTTAGGTATAAAAATACCTATGATTTGAAATTCAAATGTTAAGAATGAAAGATTTAAATAAATCAAGAATATGATGCATGTTAACATAAAAGACTTTGTATAAAGTAGATAAAAAAAATGTTTTTTTTTAAGCATTGTTTAGTTATTTTAGTGTAATAAAATAATTTAAACTAAAGTCATCTTAAAAATTAAACGTAAAATCAAATTAATAAAATACATACAAATTTATATTTCTAAGTTCCTATACAAAAGACATATTTTAATTTTATTGATTAATATTAATTCATAATCAGATAGAAAGTTAAAAATGATATTATTAGTATTCACGGTTTAAACTTTTTAAGTTGAAATTGAAGTTGAAATATAAAATATAAAATGTTCTTATTCTAAAATACAAGCCATAGTATATTGTTTTTTTTTTTATTATTATTATTATTATTATCATTAAATTCTATAATTTATGAAAATATAAACGTATTGCTTACAATAATATGTATTGAGTTAACTTTATTATTTCATATTTACTATTCATAATATTTGAAGTATGAAATTCTAATTTTGAACAATTTTATTTTATATAGTGTATGGCGTATTTCCAATCATTATGGCAAGAAATTTATCGAAATGGTACGGATTTACAAGTGACCGATAATGGATTCGTTGAAGCTATATATACAATAATAAGTATGTATATAATTATTTCTATTTCTAAAATGAATATATGTATGGACTTGATTTTCTATCATTATGCTTTTTTTTATGCCAATTTAAAAAATTCGTCAAGTATAATAATATATATTTATACAGAACAGTACAATTATTAGCTGGATTATCATAAATACAATAAAATCTGTTATTTAATTTTTTTTAAAAGAATTTTAAAATCTTGGAAAGAGAGGGGGGTTAAAATCTCAAAATAAGAATTTAGCCCCCCCCCCCACCGAATTTCCCTAATTGCGTTACTAGTGTCATTTAATAAAATAGTTATTAGCTCTACTATCATTATATTTATTTTTGATAGCTTATATGAATATGAGTTCTATAGTTAGTTAAATAATATTGTATTTATGTATTTTTTTGAAGGTACACTAGGAGTTTATTTGATTGGTATTATAACAATACCAAGTTGGTGGCTAGTTGGCATTTTAACTTTAAGCCAAGGCTTATTATTGTTGGTAATGGCTCAAGAAAAATTATTATCACACGCATATGTTGGCTACATTATATTTGGAACATTTTATCATGTTATGGCCACTGTAGCTAAGTAAGTAATTCAACATATTAAATATTATTTTAATAATGAATAATTGCATTAATTAAAGTTTAATTTTTTCTATTTTTAATTTAATTATTCATTATTTTTTGATTTTATAATTACACATTTTTTTTGATACTTATGTAACTCATGTAGAACATATTTATTTATTTTAGTTGCGAAGTAGCTAAAAATATACCTGCAGATAGCTATGCATTGGTATTTGGAGTTAACACGTTCATGTCACTCTTACTGCAAACATGTTTGACAGTAGTTGTAAATAGTCCTTTAGGACTCATGTTAGACATTAGAACACAGGTAAACTTATTAACTATTATTATAATTTGTACATTTTAGTTGCTATTATAAACAAACTATTATAGAACATGAGGCTTACCTAGCAATCAATTCTCTCCAATAACTTTTTATACCTAGTTTATAAGTGTTGTATATTTATTTTACTTTTCGGACTAATGTTCAATTTAAAATAAGTTGTACGTAGATCTTGGTTGAAATAGGTCGGATTAATAAAACCATTTTTTACTTTTTTACTGCCAACTACCACTCAATACTTCTTAAAGCTAAATATATACAGCTATTTTATTGTTTAAGAGGAAAAACATGAAGAATAAAATTAACTGTGAAAATATTCTCATCTGACCCTTTATGTGATTTACTATCATGCTGCTACATTAAATAAAACATTTTTATGCAACTTTCTTAGTGTCCATCTAGATATCTAACTACGAGGCGTAGCAAAAAATCAGACACTAACTATATTCTAACATAATTCAATTATATTCTTCGTATGTCACAAATATAATTCTTCCATTATTTTTTCAGGGGAAAAATATCTAGTTTTTGTAAATACTAGTTTTTCATATTATGTATGGCTATAAAAAATACTTTTTATTTTTTTAGTTTTACGTGTACAGTGGAGGTTGTTTAATAATCGGGACTTTATTCACCGTCAGAGCATTGTGCTCAACATATAACACGATGATGAGACATAGAATTTTTACAACGTCGAATTAAATTGATTTATATTTAATATTATTATATATATTTTATTATTAAAATTATTGTATACCCTGTATGATATTTTATTAAAAAGTTTTAAAAACAAATACGCATGTTAATAATTGTTATTAATTGTTACCTATTCCTTTTCGATTCCATTAAGTTCACGTAACTTTATTAATTATGTACAGTTTGATTATTATATATATATAAAAAAAAAAAATCATTATTTCAAAATCTATAAAAATGTTTCAAATATTTTTTTTACTTAATTTCCAGTCAAAATAAAATAATATTAAAAAAAAATTGTATTTTAAAATATCTATAATTTTTTTAAATGAGAACATACATTTTTTTAAATTTCATATTCTAAATTAGAACATTTTTAAGAGTAATTCGATACATACAAATTAAAACTCGTAGATACGAATAGTTTATGAGTTATATGTGTTTTTCGTTAAATTGAGTAGTAGACCATCATTTTGTAGCGTATATCCTTACTATATACTACATTTCATTAACCTAAACGTTAAATACTTATAACTCAAAAAGTATTCATATGAATTTCAATTTTTATGTACTCTGAAACATATTCTGCTTCGAAATATGAAATTAAAAACGTATGCTGTCGTTTAAAAAAGTAAGAAATATAATGATAAAAAATATTGTTTTATTTCGATTGGAAATTATTTTTAGTATTTAATTTATTAAACATTATTATTGCAGTAATAGATTTCAAAAATGGTTTAATCAATTAAATCTGGAAAATGATCACATGTGTACTATCTAGTTTCAATTATTTAGTAGTTTTTAATTAAAAATAAATTAGTCGAAGAAACAAAAGTAGGTATATTTATCGGATTTTAATAGTATTTCTATAAGAATTTTGAGTAGGATTTTTGCTATGAATTTATTTTTTGAAAGTAATGCTCAGTGTAATAATATAATTTTTTGAAAAATGAAAACAACTGTTACTTTAACATTTACTAGTTATTTTTAAATACAATGGTTTGTTGTTATAATATTAAATATGTGAATACATTTTCTAAGTGTTATAATGTAACTTTTTAATAATTGATAAATTAAAATTTATATTAAATAATTTTAAATTACACAAAGCTAATTAACGCATTTGATCGTTTTTCTTACCAAGATTTATTTTTCAAAAAAAAAAAAAAAATATATTATAAATTGTAGAGGTGTCATTACTTTTATAGAAGATATTGAAATCACGCAGAATCTAAAAATTGTCATAAAATTATTTATGATATTAATCAATTTCTTTTAAAGTTCAATTTTTAAATGTTTAAATTCAAAAAACTGTCAGTTAATTTTTCTGAATAAAATACTATATAAAACAATATACATATGTCGTACTTAATCTAACTTATTGTGGTACTCGGAAAAAAATTTCAGAAATCATCCTTCTATCTGGGAAAAAAATTAAATACACAGTAGGTAATCAAAGAAGAGTGCAGATTGTAACTGTATTTTTATGTTATATAATAGGATGTAATGTATGCTGTATTGTAAGTCATAATAACCGTAAATAATGCTATTGAATTATTTTTAATTTGTAAACATTTCTGAAATTATTTATGCATATTTATTATTTTATTGAATTGGGCCTTTAGATATTTTTCATTTTTGGGGTTCATTGCAAAATGGGAAAATGTATGTTTATATTTTAATTATATATGAGACGTGAGTGGAATATTTAAAATTAAAAAGTCTAGCTTATTCAACACATTGTGCAAAGCATCTAATAGTTGTATAACAAAAATAATATTCATTTATTAAATCTTTACCGGAAAATTGTCTCAAAAATTAAAGAGGAAGTCATTGGAACGTAATTTAAATGACTTACAATGTTAATGTGTGCATAACGAGTTCATCCGTATTCATTGTTTGAGTGGCTACTTATAGTGAAAATGGAAATTATTATTGTTTATAACGAAACAATGACGTTATAGAATAAGTTTTTTGTATAAAAACAATGAACTCAGATGCAAATATTGCATATGCATATTTAAGTCAGTAAAATGTATTTTATCCAGTAGTTACAGAAAACTTCCATACCATTTTATTTGGAAATGTCAATATTGTTATTTAAATGCGTGATGAGTTCAAAACTAAAACTATTCATTTTAACAAGCTTAGTAATACCAATTGTCATATCATCTTCGAATCTTTCGTTTGACACTCCAAACTCAAACACTGTAAGTAGAATAATATCTACACCTAATCCTAATAATAATTTATTGTACCTAAGATACGTCAATTAGTTTAAGTGTTAATATATTAAATTTCATCTAATCTATTAAGCACCAAACGAGTACAAAGCTTATGATCCATTTAACGTAAAACTTTTATTATTTTGAAAATTGTTAAAAATGTTAAAATTGTATTTAAGTCATTAAAAACAAAGTTTTTTTGAAAATACATACTTTTGCTATTTTTGCATCGTTATCGGTTATCACTATTTAAATTTTTTTATAACATGATATATTCAAGTTTTAAGTCGTTAAAAAATAATATTTTTTGATGATATTATGTTTTTTAATCTTTTGAACAATTATATTTTTAATCTCATATTCCGGAGCAAAAAATTATTTTACGTATTTTGATCTATTAAAGCTAATTTTGGACGACAAGTAGTTTATGAGTTACAACTTAATAAGTATTTAAAGTTTTAAAATGTTGATAAGTGGAGTGTGAATTGTACCCTACAAAATATCGGTCACTGCTCACTAAAATTTTTTTTTTAACATTTATTTTTCTTCTTTTATGAAGAAATTAAATATTTTATTTTTTATTTTAGACAAATAATGATAGGGCAGTTGAAAGCTTTAAAGGTAACCGTCCATTAAGAGGAACAAAACGACAGTCCAGTTTAAAAAAACAAAATCGACGTAAGTCATCAGTCATCACTATACTATAAATAATATATTACGCATTTTGTTTAAAACAAACTAAAATCTTTGTGTAGTTGTCTTTAAATTTTTGTTTAACTTTAGTGCTCTCATTATTCACAATCGTTAAATTTGACAACGAACCATGCTATTCATCGTCTGGCGACAGCGGTATCTGCATGACATCAACCGAATGCTATCAACATCGAGGAGTGCCTATTGGCTCGTGCGCTAATTCATATGGCGTTTGCTGTTTATGTAAGATCAAATATTATAAACTAACACCTATATGGCTATATAAATATCTTTCATCATCATAGAGATTCCGATAAGTATAATCTTGGATGGCTTTTTAAACTGTTACAAAAATAACCGTTATTTATTAAAATGTAAATTATGCATGCTGCGATTTTAAACTATAAATTTACTCTACAAAAACCGCAATAAAAACTAAAATAAGTGAACAAATAAACTGAAGCACATGATATTTTAACTTCGTTATTGTATTTTACTAAAATTTATAGTATAAAACATCATCAATTAATGGTTATTTAACTAGGTTAATTAAACAAAAATAATTATAAAAAATTAAAAAATTAAGTATAAAAAAGTCGTTGTATTTTATTTACTATTCAATTTGTTTTTAAACCATATTGTTTTAAAAATTCGTATCTTGAAATTTGTTTGGCCGTGTGTTTTTATCGCAATTCATTTTATAAACTGATTTCTCTGGATATATGATGACGAGATGCACACCTGAGCGATGCGATTAAGATAATTTTTGTGTCGTTTAAGCGTCCAAAAAAGTATTCGTATATCGTATTTATAATTTTATCGCAGTTTGTATAAGTGCATTTATATTTTCATTGTGTTTTTTATAATTAATTTTTATAATTAACTACCTATGCCTAATAATCTACACCATTTAAATATTTAATTATCGTTTATGAAATAAATGAGAAGACATTAGTGAATCATCGTCTTAGAAGGAAGTCCGAGGTTTTTTCCATGTATTTATTGTAACAAAATCGTTGTATCAAATAAAATAAAAAAATAGAAGGGAGTGTAGATATAAATATTTAAAAAAGAGTCCTATGTATTAAGTGTTGTAACTCCTCTTATCCACCTAAACGGATAAATCTTTAGTTACCAATGATAGTGAATTATCTAACGTCAAATTGTGTTTTTATAATTATAATTACAACACGAATACAACCAGTGAAAAATGAAAAATTTACTCGCGGTGCCTAAAAGCAATACTTACACCGTATACGGTATATACCTATCTAATATAATTCTACGTTTATGTTTATTGTTATATTATATTTACACAATTATAACAATTCTTGTACTATACTTATTTAGCGTTATCTACATGTGGCCAGACGATCCGAGAAAACGGCACATATTTCGTGAATGCAGGATATCCAGACGGTTTAAATAACACAGGGACGTGTCAAGTGACTATACACAAATTATCTCCTTATATTTGTCAGTTCAGGTGTGTAGTGTACGAAAAAAGCAAAAAAATTATACGTTATCAATGTATACATAATATATTAAAAGACATTGAATTTATTATTATATTGATTATCATTTATTTTTTAGGTTGGATTTTGAACGATTTTCTATAATGGGACCCGAGCCAGTCAATCATCAATGCGACAATGACCAATTCATTGTTTCTGGTTCGAATCCCATACCTGTTATTTGTGGATTGAACACTGGTAGCCACAGTACGTATTCAATTACACATACAATTTTATCTATTTTTGTATATTCTGATTTTGTTACTTATAATTATAAAACATTTGCATGAATAATCAAAAATTAATATATTGATTAAATATAGTGTATGTGGACGCTGGAACGGGTACAAGTCCAATCATATTAACCATGGTTACAAGTGGCATATTTTTAAAAAGAAATTGGAAGATTAAAGTTAGCCAGTTACCTTGTGACTCTATTACAAAAGGTTAGTTACAAATGGGAATTCACCAATTTGCGCTTAAAATTACTATTTTATATACTAATTGCGCTGTGTACATTTTAGGGTCGATAGACCAAAACATGCCCTTAAAAAATTTTCAAATACTTAATGAAAACTCATTAGTTAATTAAAATTATATAATAAATTAATACACACATCAGTTTAGTTAAACTTTAAAAGCACAGTTTCACTTTCATCAGATAATAAATTTTAAAACACGATTTAACTGTACACCTCCACTTAATTCCATTTTTTGATTTAGTATATTTTCGAAACTTAAAATCATCGATAAGTAACAACGGTTCACCTTTTTTTACTAAAAGCTTGCTTAAAGTAATCCATACTGTAATGTCAAACAACTCAAACTAATACTAAACAAAAATATACAAGTAACGGCTATATCATCAATGTGTTATCCTATATAGGATACTTGTGCAATGAAACAATTAGGCTGATAAATATCCAATTAAAATGAAAACTTGTTTTCGTCTTTCATCTTTCCGTGTGTAGTGGAGCCTGACAAGTTCTTCCGGATTTTACACCGGAAATACTTTATCCCTTTATGTAGCCGCGATGTTACCTCTTCCGGGCGAAAGACCAGGGTGAGCTCCCGAGAGCCAGGCACCCCGAGCCCGCCCGGGACGCCACCTTACCTTAGGCGTCATAATGAGCCGCTTCGTGACCAGAGCCCGACGGATACCGTCCAAATCAAGCCTCTTCTACTAAGGCGGTACTCCCACAACCACTACGAGTCTTTCCTCAATTGCGGCGATCCCGTCACAGACGAGCGCGGGCATTATTTTCGTCTATCACTCAAATTCATACCTGTACGATCAAATTTGCGTAGTAATATTAATGTTTTGTAAAATTCCGATATTTTTATAAAACATATTATAACCAGTTACTTAGACCAGTAATCAAATAATAAATAAATAAGTTTAATTTTTAAGCATTTTTGTGAGTATATTATGTCGATTTTGTTGGAATTGGATTGAAAAATAATATTTTCATCATATCTGAAGATAAGAAAATTTAAAACAAGCGCAATTGGTATACTGACCCTAAACAAAAATTTTGTTTTAGGCGCAATTGGTCCATGCCCTTACAAATAAGTACTTGTAAATTAACTAATAAATATATAAATAAAAGTTTTATAAATTACACAATTTTTTTAAATGTAATAATTAAAATAATGAAGTGTTTTACCAATACTTACGTTTACTATCTTTCAAAAATTAATTTTTCTGTATGAAATGATGAGTATAATAATTAGGATTTTCTATTTTAAATTTAAAAATATTCAATGATTTTGTATTTTGGGTTACATTATTCATTTTTTCTCGTCTTACTGGTATTATTGTATTAATAGTTCAATTATTTATGATTAAATAACTAGTAATTTGGTAATTGTGTAATAGTTGTTTAAATATTATAAAAAAATTGATTATGGTATTGTTATCAGAAGCTTTTATTTTCAAGACTTAATATTTTCAAACATGTATCTAAATAAAATTGTAGTTAGCTAAACATTAGTAACTAACTATATCACATCTGTTATTTATATTCTGTTTTGTTAAAGTATTTACAATAACGTTTTGTTTTATGTATTCAATTCTAGCCGACACTGGTTGTTTGCAATATTACACCGGAGTATCAGGTACACTGAAGTCGTTTAATTACGAATCCTATTCCGGTCTTCATTTGTCGAATCAGGATTATACAATATGCTTGAGGACAGAGCGAAATTTTTGTTCCGTACAATATTCAGCTTGCGATGATCAAAGTGAGTGATTACATTTCGGTTATATCATGTGTGTTTAGCGGTTAAGAAAGAAAAAGCAAGAAATATCGAAACTAAATAAAACATATTTCGCATGTATACAATGTAGTGAACAATAGAAGTCACGCGTTCACATTGACTGGAAATACGTTGGGTCAAAATCCGGTACAAGCAAATGTCGGTAGCGTTGGATCAAGTCCATGTAATTCTGATTACCTAATTATACCATGTGTTTCAAGCAAGCAAGGGCCCGTGGCGTCAGGAATGAATACTTGTGTAGATAGATTATGCGGTGGAACTTTGAACACAGATTATTCTACAATTCCAACGACTATTATGAGTAAGAATGTTTAGAATATTAATAAATTATTATTAATATTTTTTTTATTCTCTTATGACTTTACAACCTAACTATGCTATAAAATTATTGAGATTTTATTTTACTACTCAAGGAGGAGTAGTATAAATTATTTAATGGATAACTTTAACTTTTAAGAACATTTGATATACTTACTTATTTAAAATTCGAATGAGAGCTTCTTATTTATTGAAATGTATAGTATATTAAGAAAATATAAAAATAAAATATTGAACAATATTTGGAGATTCTTTCAGTACTACAAATTTCAAGAATTTAAGTGTATGGTTTTGAGGTATATTTAAAAATTTTAAAAATCAGATTTTATACAACTACATTATTAATATAATAAATAATATAAATATAATAATATAATATATATTAATATAAATATATACTTACTTATACAGTACATATTTTTGTAATAAATAACAGGTACTATAGTACTAATGAACATTTAAGTAAAAATATAAATAATATATTATATTATTATATTTGTATTATATATTATATTATAATATATTATATAATATATAATATAAATAATATAAAAATAATAATATAATATTATAATATATAATACATAAAAAAAATAAAAATAATAATATATAATAATAATAATAATAATAATTATATATATATATTATTTATATATTATTATATTTATATTATATATTATTATTTTTATTTTTTTTATATATTATATATTATAATATTATATTATTATTTTTATATTATTTATATTATATATTATAATATAATATATAATACAAATATAATAATATAATATATTATTTATATTTTTACTTAAATGTTCATTAGTACTATAGTACCTGTTATTTATTACAAAAAGTTGTACTGTATAACTGTATTTACTAGCATATTTTATATTAGTACTGGGTAATGATTAAATATTTGTTTATATTATCAAAATGATTATTATTTAAATCATTTAAATCTTTTAAAATAGATAATTGAGACTCAATAAAATTTAAAATCTTTTTTGAATATATCACCAATTATTATTATTATTATTTTATGACTATCGGATTTTTACAACAAATTAAATTATGTAGAAATAAAAAAAGCATTATAATTAATGGACAAATTGGATATATAATTTAAATCGTGTTTAATAATATGATCTGTTATTAAGAATTATTTATTTAATGACCAACTTAATTATTTAATAACGTTTTGTTTACAGGTAGTATCCGACCTTTTCGATTATCATTTCACACAAATGCTGTAGAAATGCCAAATGACATGGGTAATCGTGGTTTTTGTTTAAACTATATTCAACAACCTTGCAATGCTAATTATACTTAAAGAGTTCCATTTTATTTAAGATTTAATTTATCACATTTATTATATCTATATGTATATGTATATATATATATAATATTAAAAAATAAAATAATGTCATGATTATTTTTTAAAGAACTTGTCAAATAGTATTCTTATTATGTTTCCTGGAATCGCATAAATTAACATAAGAAAAAATAATACAACAAAAACAACTAATAAAACAATTAAAAACTTTGTTTTGTTAGCTACGAATAAACTTCGGAATATATACTTGAATGGATCTATAATTGTTTTTAGGTAATGAGTTGAAGGTCTCCTGTTAATTTTAAATCATAGATTATTATTAAGTAACTATTAACAATGAAGCAATATAGAATTACTTTGGTACGGGCAAAGGCTGGGGCCCTTCTCTACCAAATCCAGCTGGAAATTTATCCGCTTCTTCCTTTGTCATTATTTGAATATCGGCATTTACTTTACCCTTAATATATAATTAACAGAATTCTTATTATTTTATTCCTAAGAAAATCTTAAGACGTGACCCGCATGGGCTCTCTGTTTTTATAAACTTACAACATCGAAACTTTGCATTCACAGTAGAACTAATTTTGTCTGGTTAGTTTTAATTTTAAAGTTGATTGGTCTATTATAAAACTTTAGAAAATTATCTATGATTTATCGTTGCTATTTTATATTTTAAATTTTAAATGAGTAACTAATGTTAAATATTGAAATATATAAATGATCACAATTTGTTTAAAAATTTTCAATTTCGTAAAAAACCAACAAGTTATTACAAATAATGTTCTTACCTAAGTTTTATCAAAAGTCATTTCACTATAGTATTAAAAGAATAGTAACATACAATTTGTTCTACTAATTGCAAATTTACTATGTTGTATTTTTTTAGGCGAAATTTTCGAAAATTATTTGAACGCTTACTACAACAGTATTTTTATTGTTTTCCGTGGAAATGAACGGCCACCAACCACTTGTTTTTTTCACTTTGAACAAATTTATTCGAGACATTTTAGATAAGTTATGCATCCACGATGATTTCGCACCACGAGGCATATTTTTCAAGTTTAAAGTCAAAGAACCTAAATTGTGCGGGTTAATAATAATACAGCATGGTATGAGAATTAAAATTATACAGATAATAAAAAAATTTATGACAAAATGTTTGATTTACCTATGTAGGAATCTGGTGATAACTGATCATTATCCCAAATTTCTAGATGTAACTTTGGAGTAAATTTTTGTTCTTCATGGTATATACCGAAAACGTTTTTTTTTCTGAAGACAATAATATTTTCTGTTTTATTATAAGGGAATGTGAATTTTAATCGCCAATTGAACAATCCTTCGCCGTTCAATGATCGATAATGAACGTCTGTAGAAAGTTTTTCGACACCAGGTAACCATCTAAGACACAAAATAACGTCATAAAAATTTAAATACACCTATTTAACTATAAGAACCCTTTGATATAAATATCACTGTGTTTTTCTTTTGTAAAAAAGTTGTTGTCCACGAGTTTTACTTCAGTGACAGACCAAATAATTACACGAAGTTCGTAAAGTTCGACAATTGGTGGCTTAATATCTACCATTTCAGGAATATTACTATTTTTAGGAAACATGTCAATCCACATTTCTAGTGTGCCCTTAAAATGTAAAGTTTTTTTTGTTATATTATCATGTGTATAACACATTTTTATTATACTTGATGTAAATTCGGCATATCTGGATTATATAATGTTCTAGTCTCTACATATTCGGGTACTAAATGATAACCAACAACTGGCATCTCTTGCCAATGGTTTAGTACATATAATGCCAACGATTGTCTATCAGTTTCAGTATTTTCACTGTGAACATGAAATGTTTTAGAACCAATTGTAACTCCATCCTTCGTATATATTGGATGTTTCAATGAATATAATGAACATAGTTTATGTAAAATTTTCGAAGGTTTTTCACTATCTCTCCAGCGATTGTATCCATTCCTACAAAATGAACAAAGTTTTTAAAAGATTTATGTATAAAAAAATAAGCATAAATATGATGATAAATTTTTAAAATTATACCATTTTTATAGATGTAGTTTAAAAAAGACAGAATGAAAGTAAATAGATTTGCAGGCATCACAGAGTGATATACACACTTAGCTACCTCAACAGTCAATATAGGTACTATGTATTGTGTATACACCTATTGGTTATTATGCATGTCAACACTTTATAATAGGTACTTACAATAAACTTTTTAACTTAACGAACATCTTTAAAAATGTATAAGGAAGAACTTGGTTGGATTTCTTGTGATTTTTTGAAAATGTTCGTGAGTGTTAAAAGTTTATTGAAAAAAAAAATGAATTTTCAATCAGCCGGAGAAATAAAATTTAAAATAGCAGAACTTTAAAGAAAGTTTTTAACAGTGCTATTTTCAACAATGGCAGAGATATATTCAACAGTTTGTTAATGCTGTTGACAATTACTTAAATGTAGTAAAGATTATAAATTTTAACATTTTAAGAAACTATTTTTATTGAAAATCTCAGTTTTTTTCATATCTTGCGTATACTCGAATAAGTTTAAGTTATAAATTACACGAACTATTGTAACAGTTCTTATCAGAATATTTTTAAGTATGAGGAGGTTACTTTAAAATGCATTATTACAATACGTGACATTATCTCTACCAATAATTGTTCTAAATATGGTCTTTTTATTGTGTACTTATTTAAATTTAATATTTATCATTGTAAATATTTAGTTTTAGAATGAGTATTGAAATGTACACTATTTTAACGCTGCACAAAGTACATTCATAAATTGGTTACTTGTTATATTGCTTTGGTAGTCCACAGTGAGCTCTATGTTTGCTAAAATATCTTGATTCAATATCAATTGTCGTTTCACCAATTAATTCATCTTTCCCAATTCTATCATAATCCATGATTCTAACTTTTAACATAGAACATAGTGGAAACGATATTTCTTTTTCATAACACCTTGTTAAAATTAAAATACATTTTTCTTATTACTGAAGATAAATTATTTGTATTATATTTTTACAAATTATTAAAATAAATAAATTTTTATTATTTCCTAGCCGAATCTGAACAACCTAATAAAATATAAATTATTCATATATCGATTTGGGTAATTCTTGTAATACTTTAATATAAAAATTAAACGAAAATGTGTAATTTGAATAACGTTTTTAATATCAGTTAATATTTATTAAACGAATTCTATTGAGTAACAAATTCAACAAATTTTTGATTGTTTTTAAGCAAAAATTTTATTTTTATTTATTGTATTGAAAATATTTTTTATCGTTATCATTTAAGTTTTTTACTTTTTTGAATGACATACATTTTTAATTTCATATCCCAAAAAACGTAAAAATCAACTTTTAGCTGAATTTAAATAAAATATTTAAAAATTTAACTTCAAACGACTAGTTATTAATTAGTTATTTATAACCATTTAAAATTTTTATGAATAGAGACACTGAGTGAATTGCACAGGGTTAACTTGAAAAATATTGACCTACCGCTCTCTACTTTTATAACTTTAAATACATATTCTTAATTATTCACTTGTTCAAAATTTGATTTTTATATGTTAAAATTCATAAAAAAATATTTTGCTTCGATATGCAAAGTTAAAAATACATAATATAATTATATATAAAAAAAAAATTAAAATACAGCAAAATTTTCAAATTATATAAAAATATATATTTTAAATAATAATAATAATAATGTTCTCAAAAATTAGTGTATATTTTTAAAATAATTATCTTGTAGGTGTGTGTTATATATAACTACCGTGGAGAACATATAAAAAAATCATCCGTTTACAAATACTTTTTAACGTAATCAAATTTAATTTATCTTTTAATAGTTATTAGGTATAATAATCATCAATCAAATATAATACTACACCAGAGTCATAAATATTAAATATAATATTATTATTTATATGTACCTACAACTAAACTATATTATGTTTAATTTATTTACCTGCCAAATACAGGATTTAATGTTTTAGCAACGTAATTTTTGTTATCTGTAATTTGAAGGGATTTCCCTAAAACAATTTCTACATATGGATCTGATAATCCATTTATATCACCGGGATGTAAGTTATATGCTCTCAATATATAAACACGCACAACTACTTTACATTTCTTATTTGATTTTAATCCTGGCCATATTTGAGGTGCCGAATTAGACAATAATAACTTTTGAACCGTTCCTTGTTCTTCATTACCAACTGGTATAGGATACAAATGCACGTTACCCTATGAATATGCACATGTACAAAATGTGAACAAAAATAAAAATGGTAAGTTACGTTACAGTAATTACAAATATATAAATAATAATAATAAAAAAAAGATATTGCTGTATTCAAGAAAATCATAGCTGTATTAATTTGTCACAAATAGATTAAAAGATATAGGTATTAACATTGGCACTATACACTTGTATTTTACTTATAAAACAATACTATCAGACAGGTTTTTTAGATAGAAAACTAAGGTATAACTTATTAAAAATTACAAATCAATAATAATTACTTTTAACACGCCAATAACTGTTGCTTTTTCATTCTTTTTATCAAATTCATAAATTTTGAATTTTTTTAAATTGTCTTCAAATCCATTAAATTCTGGAATGCTTTCTAATTCATGATTGTAAATCTGATTGAAAAAAATACTTATTAAAATCATGATTATTAGTCATTACTTTAAAACTATACATGTATTGTTGTTGATTTAATTTTTGAATAATGTTTAGAAACATAAGTCTTATTTTGGAGAAATTTGCTTGAAATATTTAATAACACACTTACGTCTTTATTCTCTTGGAATTTTTCCTGTAACCAATTAATTTATAATTAAAAAAAAAAAAAAATGTACTTATTAGACAATATAATTAAGAAATATAAATTAACCATATTATTGGACAATATGTTTTTTTATTTCCTTGAACAACTAATATTGGAAAATAGTGTAACACAATGACCTATCCTTTGTAAAATATTTACTCTATAGTATTAAAACATTTTACAACCTTTTGATATTTAAATCCGTAATATTTTGTCCACCAGTTAAATTCTTTTTCGTCTTCTTCGAGTTCGTCATCAATCAAAGGATTATATTTATTTCCAAAGTAGCTAATATAATTTTTCAAACGATTTGAAATCCAATAAGTAAATACATTTAAACACGGAAGTATATAACACACAAAGTTGTACAATAATGTTAAAATAAATGTTACGTGTTCAATTATCCACAAAAATGTGTTTTTTAAGTAAATTGGAAAAACAATGTCAAATTTTTGTTTTATAAAATTGCAATCAAATTTGAAATTAACCTGGAAAGTTTTTTTTTTAAATACTAGTTTTTAAAATTTTAATGCATTGATTACTTTTGATGGGCTTTTTTTTTTAATTTTTTCCTTTTTTTCCTCTATTTCGTTATCATCTTCTATTTCTAAAACTATTCATTATGGTTAAAAACAACAATAAAACTGAATAAAAATTATTAACTTATTTACTTGAATAACTTAGTTGTTCATTCCATTGAGTTTTTGGTATAGTATGAACTATAAATTCATTTAAAGGCTGAGAAACACATATTCCAAGTGGAGTATAAGAATTTTTTATAACATTTTTAGTAAAAAGTTGAAAACTTATAGGGGATATAAGATTTGGATCTTCAGGTAATTCCTTTAAAATAAAATATTGTATTATTTAAATCGTTAGAATAATAATATTTTATTTTATACTTACTAAACTGAAAACAAATTTTTTATTATCTATATCTGGAAAATTTGGAAAGGAGTTAAAATTTTGAATTACATCAGAATCAATTGATAAACTCGAGCATAACAATCGTACAAATGGTTCATGTAAACGTATGTTAAATTGGCGCAATCCCCAAAATAGCACAACTAATCTGAAATAAAATATGATGACAAGTAAATTTTATTTTGTATATAATTGTTGTAAAAAAAAACTAACTGATAAACACAAAATTTGGGTTGTACATGTTTCAATAAGGGGACGTTAAAAGTCTTTTTGGTTTCAGTTAATTCATTAGACATAATTTGTGAGATTTCAGCTGCTATATAAATTTTACCAATTTTTTCTGAACCATCCACTATGTTATACCAGTTTAATGTTTTAAGTGAAGAATTATTAGTTTCTTTTATATTGATAACTGTAAAGGCAATAACATCCTAAAAAATATAATTGTCTGCATTAAATTGAATTAATCATATTTATTATGATGCATTTACTTCTATTAGTTTATTCTTTTCTATGCCTACGTGACATAATTGAATAATTACATATATTGGTGTACTTTTATTAGTATCTCCATATCTCGTAAACAAAATTGGCTTAAATAAAACCGATACATTCCAAGAAGTTGATACATTTGAGTCGACTGCCTATTACATGTATTATATTTATAACATTTTGAATCATTTTCAGTTTTCAATAGTATAAAAAACATTAAAATAATAAAAATAAATTATTGAATAATAACTTAGTGCTATCTTAATTAATACAGTTATTTTAAACAATCTCAATTGTTAACACCTATACTGATTATCACGAATTTATATGATTTAACAGAATATCCTTACTTTAGTTGTTATTGAATGTCCGTTAAAAATTATTCGTGTCATCAAATTTAACTGACTGTATTTTTTGTAACATTTTTCAGTAAGAGCAACTTGACTTATATGTGCTCTGAGTTGTAAAAACTAGATTTGTTTTGATGAAACATGAATGTAATGTACATGAAATATACGCATATTATTTATTAATAAATAATTAAAATTACTGTTTTTTCATATAATTTATAATTATATTGTGAACATGGCTGATCACTGCAATTATTATACAAAAGTCCAGGAATTTGTCTTAATCCCACTTTAAAATCCTCGTATGGTCCTATCCAAAATATAGTTTCCATAATTCCATCAAATACATTTTCTTTTATTTTAGTGGACTATCAAGTATTAAAATATTACGTGTTATAAAAATATAAAATGTTATTTGTAATGTTATTTTAGGTTAGTTTGATAAATATTATAAAAATAAACGTTTTATATTAACATTATTTATTTGAATAAATTACTAACCAAAAACCAAGGCCGAATTCGTTTACAAAATTTTCCTTTACATTCTGAAATTTTAGAATACAAAAAGTTTCTTGTTTGAATTTGACATCCTAATACGATTTGTTTACCATCATGTAAATTTAAGAAAATATTGGGTGGGCCATTATACGACTGAAAATAAAGTAAATTATATCTACGTTATAAAAAAAATGTGTACCGTTCTGCTATGTATCGAGTGGGTCACTATTATTAGTGTGTTAAATTTAAATTTAATGATATATCAATGTATACACAAAAGATTCTTAGCGGTAACGGTCTGTCAGCCTACATAAATTTTAACTTGAAATAATTACAAAAAATAATTGTTTTTATATCCCTATTTTTTATTTTTTGTTTCAGTATGACTAATTATGTTTTTATGAATTTATAATTACAAAATAATTTATATATTTTTGAGATTTTAACAAATTTTATCAACATTTTAATTTTAAATGTTTATAATAAAATATTATGACTTTAAATTTTCGATATTTTTAGTTGAGGAATTAAAAATTTATGAAGAGCTTTGTATTAAGTTTCAAAATCTTTAAATCATTTTGTAAGTATATATACTTGTTTTAAGTAATTTCTTACAACGGTTGTCATATTTACTAATGTATTACCAAAATATCTATAGACAAATTATACATTATATAAAATATAATTTTTATACATATGATAAAATAATAAACTGAAAATTTTTACTTTGTTTTTATGACATATTAATAACTGATCAAACGTATCTTTAATTCTGTTCATTAAAATGGATACATCTGTTACACTATACAAAAGATTGGAAATCGTTTTAATTTCTTTTAAACAATATTGTTTAAATAGCTCCTGTAAATATAATCAGTATATATAAAATAATATAGTATAATATAATTAATTATATTCCAGAGACATATTTAAAAGGATTTAACAATGTTGGTTATCGAAGGTTTTTTTGGTTTATATTGAAAACTAAATTTATAGTATATTGACCGTAATGACGTTGCTAAGGAGATTAAAGATTGTCGTAGCCCTTCAAAATTTAAGGAAAATTTTAAAATTTCTCTTGGTATTCTGTTAATTTATAAGTTCAATATAACCAAGTATTAAAATCAATATTTGAATGGAAGTTGTTATAATAACCTAAAAACTCATAAACCCTGAATTAGCATACCAAATTTACGAGGAAGTGAGAGATTTTCGCCATTGGTTTGTTAATTTAAATTCTTGGCAGATAACGTTTAAAATAGAACTTTTTTGACGGATTATAAGTTATCTCAATACGGGACTATTTAAAACATTTATTATACTATATACTTGCGTACGCACTACAATTTATGCATATTTTTTTTTAAATAGCAATGCTCATTTTTGACACCAAAATTAATTCTTACACACAATATTGTGTTTCTAAATTCATAATTGACTAAATAAAAGTAATTTAAAGTTAATCATGAGTATATTTTTTTTCCAAACTCTCACTGAGAAAATAATTGATCATTAATCGTTACATTTTTAGTTTGAAATAATATACTATATTATAACAGATTATTTCCTAAACAAAAAAAAGATTGCATTTGAGATTAGTTTGTAATAGGCCCGTAAAATATTAACTGAGCCCAGCCAACATAATTAAATAAATATAATAAATAATTTTTAAATTTAATTTTGGTTTAAAAAGAGTGTTGTTAGTGGGCGACTTTTTTAATTTAAGCTTTTATGTTATTGTATACATATTTATCTAACGCTTATTGTACGTACTTTGCATAGATTGTAAAATTTAAACAAAAAATAAAAAAAAATTTGATTTAGTCTTTGTTCATTTTAAGATTTTTAAATTGAATCATTAAGTTGAGTGAAATAGTGTTTTAGATTTTTAGAATAATACTACGATATTCTACTTAATATATTCTATGTAGTAATACATTCATATTTAGGTGTTATTCAATATTCATTAAATACATTATTCAATGAAATTAGTCTAATAATAATATATAATTTGTACAACAAAATACCATATTATTGACACAAGACGTATGAATATGTTTATGCAGTTTTATATTTTTACTGTATGATTGTTTAAATTTTTCATGATGGATAATTAATTTCTTAATCATTTTACGGATAATTTCTATTTTACTATTACTAGACTGTTGATCATTAAATTGACGACAAGCCTTAAAAATGCAAGTTTCCTGTACAGATGAAAATAATTTTGTTGCATAATATAATAAATTAAAATATATTTAATAATTAAAATAATTTTACCATACTACTAATTGTCTTAGATAACAAATTCATAGAAAACATTGCGTAATATTCAATACTTGGTAAATTTGTAACCAAAAATAAGCAGGGTTTTCTATCTTCTTCAATCAATAATTTATAAAAATCGTTTTCTAACCTCACTACTTTGTACTCTGATGTCTTAGAGTTAATAAGCTCTGAAAATAAAAAATAAATTACAATTACTAAAATTGTAATTCTTATTTACTGTACTCATAGATTATGGTTAGATTTGGAAATCTGAATTTAACTATAAGCTTATAACTTATACTATTAATGTAGTTACCTTTGAAATGTATCAAAAGCAATATTCTTATACTTAGGTAGGTATTATACACACATAAAAATAATCATTTGATACAAAATAAATATTAACAAATAAAACATCATGTTTTTAAAAAATGAGTATAAATTTATAAGTACCTATTATATGTTTATATATTTATAGTCAAATCAGGCATTTTTTCAATTATATAAAACAGTAAAAATTGTATGTAGAAATTAAAATTTATGGTACGGAGTTTTACTGAATTCTTATACTGTTGTAGACAAATAATTAATTTATTCTAATAAAATGTCAATTATTTATAATTTTGTGTTATTATAATTAAGTATCTATTATTATATTATTTTCAACATCATATAATAAAATCAAAAGTAAAAAAAAAATTTATCAAAAAATATTATTTACTTATTTTATTTATTTATTATTTTCAGTATTCTAAGCGATTAAGCCAATACTTGAAACGAGCTGAAGTATCTAATTATTATCTTCAACACTAAATCTGTATTATACCAGCTTTTTTGTCAACTCAGTTAATATACTGTTCCGCATAATTATTTTAAAACCCATTTGTATTTCAATTATCATGACAGATTCACGATCTACTTTTGGAAAATTAGAAATAATTTGGTTACATAAAAAAGTTAGCATAATTTTTCTTTATTTTGGTTATTATTTTTATTATTGTGTTTATAATATCTAACACCTTTATTAGTTGCTATTTTTTTGGAATTACAAGTTGAAAAAATTGATACTAATAAATATTTTAATTTCAGTTTGAGTAATATTATGGTTATTATTAGATGCCTATTGCTCAATTTTATCCCTTCCACCATTCTGGTGTTTTATTGATTATACATTAAAGTCTAATGATTAGACAATACTAAAGTGTTATAAATTTGTAATCATTTTTCATTGTGACTAGGTACAAAAGCAGTTATGTGGAAATTGATATACTCGTAGTGTTATAATTATCACTCGAAATTATTAATATTTAAAATTCTATGTATTTATTTTATTATTTACTTATCCTTGAGTAATTATTTAGTACTTATAAATTTGTATATATTTGATATAGCTCAAGCGTTCAACGACGTTTGACAAAAAAGGACTGATCTTTCTTTCTCACCTTTGAGACATAAAAATGACCATGAATAACTTTCAAATTCACTTAAATCACTTAAATAAATAACAAATTCAGGTCAATTAATGGATAATTAAAATAAATAATCACATTTCATTTTTATATTTTATTACGTTTTAAAAACAAACGACTGTCTTTCAATTCAATTAAATATTTAAGATAAACAAAAAACAATTAACTTGGACTACTTACAATAAAAATAGAAACAATTTTGTCATTTTAAAACTCTCTGAACTTTTATATTTTCTTCATTCAAAAATTTCACTTAACATAAAATTTTATTCTATAAATAAATAAATAACTGATACTTCCTACAATGATTTATAGTATCCAAATTTAAGAATCGATTTAAATCTTAAGCTCAAGCATAATTTTATCTCAATCAATCAAATCAATGAATCTACGTATGAGTATATTAACTAAATTTTAGTTACTAAATTTATTGGTTAGTTACTGATCAGTGTTACATCTTAAACCGTACTTTTTACAATAACATAAAATCACGACACAAGTCGTGTCACTGGATATCATCCTCTTCCATTATATCATGTAATTTTACTTTCTAAACTCTTATCAAACATTTAATTTTTAATTTTATAGATTTTGAATATTCATAACTATTTATTTATTTTTAAAAACAATTGAAAATAAAGTTGGTACTTACCTCGTTTGTTTTCACTTTCCGTAGCTAAATTATATTCACTATAATCCATTGTTATTGTCATATTTTTTGAATTTATAAGATTTTTATGTACATGGTTTACACATAATATAACACCAATTATTATAATTGGAATATACATTAGGTCCTAAAGTCATTTAAAAAAATATATATTATCTTCAAATAGCAATTTTACACATTGTTAATTTTTAATAACTATATTATATATTCAAAACCTAGTTATGAATAATTCACAATTATTGTGAACTACTATTTAAACATTTTAAAATTTGATTTCGATCATTTTATAAAGTTATTTTTTTATAGTAATTATAAATATTATATTGTATTTATATTATTCCATTTTTATAGTTATTTTTTTTTATATAGTTTTTTTTATGTATGGAATAAAATAGATAAATCCTTGTTTCTAAAAAAATTTGATAATGCTTGGTTTATCCAAAAAATCAAATATGTGCACTCAATTATTTTATTGTGTACCTACTTAATTCCCAGTATAATTCAATGCATATATTAATGATTATTAATTACCAATTACGTATATTTATTACCTCTTCAAGAATTGAATCTATATCATCAATTTGCAATCTTTCAAAACTTTCAACTTCGGAGGGTACTAATTCAGTTTCCACGGATAATAGTATTCTGCCAAAATATTGAGATTCCAATGTCGTAAAATGCAAGAAAGCTGGACCAAAACACGGGAGTCCATCTGTAATTTTTTTAAATTGGTATATTGAAATATTTAATTTAAATTAAATACAACCATTTCCTATAAAATCATGTATAGATATCATTTTGCTAGCCATAATTTTTCCACATAAAATAAATTTAAATCTTATGATTGGGCATAACGGCGGATATACGTTTATTATCGAATAATGTTTGTTCCAATTTAATTCTGTTCCGTTCAAGTTCAGCAATATACTTGTCTATTTTAAATATAATAAATTTAACACTTTTTGTTTTATTTATTTTCTAGATGATTAGATACTTCAGGTGCTTCTCCAAAATCAATTGACAACCATTTAGGACCTTCATCATGTAAGAAACGGATCACTTCACCTCTGTGTAATTTAATAGAATACTTGGCTAAATGAGTTGTGGCTATTCTAAATCCATTCGGAATAAATAAATCACTGAAATTGTTGTATATAGTTATTATGTATAATGTATATGTATATATATATGATTTTTAGTAAACAATATGCACAAATAAGTTGTAGGTATTGTAAAACAATTTCAAACAAATTTTCTAATATCAATGTAACTATAAATACATTGATATTCGATATAATTGTTGATGTTAACATATTAACTAACTAAATACAATAGAATTTTTATTTTTATAGAAAATACATTCAATAATTTGATCAAACATCACTGACTATATAATAAATATAACTAGCCAATTATTATTTATAGAATATTATACATGTATTTTTATTTCTATGTATATTTTATCCATTAAAATGTTTTATTTATCGTATAGGTATAATATAGATAGAACAACGAATCGTAAACTTTTTTATTCATGGAGCTCTTTGGTTATCGAAAAAAAATTTACGGAGGTCTAAGTTTTATGAATACTCATTATATACACAAATCGTAAAAAATGATGCATTATCTTTTAAATTTGTTTCTTTGTAAAGCGTATAAAATAAAATATTTTATAAAATTATTAAAAAAACATATTATTAATGATTTATATTATCGTTTTGACTATGAAACTAAATATACAAGTTTATTGATATTAAATATTAAAAATTAAATATTATTTTAATTTAATTTAATTTAGTTGTGTCCATATTCCATACCTTAGTGTCCTAGTTTGAAAAATGCTGACATAGAATATAAAATTTATAAAAACGTATTTTTTTCAGAGTAAAGAAAAATCATCAATATATTTATTTTCAATAATATTATTATATTATTGTAAATTATTTATGAAATAAAACCGATACTAAAAAGTTATTAAATCTTGATGCACATTACAAATAAATATTGTAATTGTTTATTACATACCAATAATAGTATTTAAAGTAATTATAATACAAAAATGTATACATTTGGCTTCTATAAATATTTTGTACTAACTTTTTATTAAATTTGATGTCTTCTATTGTGGAACCTAATGATTTAGATACGATAAAATTGTTTATCATATGTCTCTCATAAAACATAACTATATCACATTTTAAATATCCTGTAACTCCCAAGTCATTTTTTCCATAATTGATTAAAGCTAACCATTTATTACGAAACTGTTTGTCTGTTAAAAATAAATAAGTCAGTAAATATGTATTTTTTTAATAGAATTACAAATATTTTTTTAATATTTTTTACAATATAAAAATAATACTGCATGCTTCAAGTTTAAAAGAAATTTTTGTTAATTAATTGTACCTAAACTTCCCAGTAAATTATATAAGATAATAAAAATAATAAAAATAATACCAAACAATGAGAAAATGTACGTGAAATTTTTTTACTTTTTTTGTTATAATTCAAAATTAATCTATTTTTTTTGAAAATACTAAAATGTATATAAAATATGATACCTAATAAAGGCACATAAAAATTTTTACTCTCCGCGAATAATAGTTTTGAATAACAAAATAAAAACTAAAATCGTTTTTCATTTAAATATCTAATATTAATAATATCATCCAAATTTGCACTCAAAATTTCTACAGAAATGAGTTGTGTCATATTTTTTTATATTTGTTGATTATATGAAGCTACTAATGATAAAACTTTTATTAACAACGTTAATAAAATACATTGTACGTTCAACAAAATTATTTGCAAATTTGATAATTTTGAATTGCATGTAATTAAAGTTTTTGATTTTAAATTACAAAAAAAAAAATATATCGATTTTGTATAAAAATTACAGTTTTTCCAATTTTTTTTCTTTTATTTTGAACAGTAATTTTTAATTTTAACCTCTCAAAAGTACAAATTTCTTTCCAAAACCGATTTTCCTATTAAAAATCGTGTACACATACTTTAAAAATACACATCATTGTAAAATTAATACATATACCATTCCGCTAAAAATGTAAATTATATGTTTTATAAAGATTAAAGTTATACAAAATAAAAAAAAAAATATATTTTTAAAGATAATAATCCTTTAATGTTAAATTAACATTCTTGTAATTACTTTTAGAGTTAAAACCATCATAAAATCTTATCACTGATTAATTATAGTCATAATTCTATTAATCGTCCAAATAAATTATGAAAAAATAAAGTGGCATAAAAACTAATTGTTGATTACCTGGTTCTGACCAAATTGTAGATATTTGTATAATGACACTCCCAAGAATAACTGTTTTTAGTTGTGATAATATGTTATGCGACTCATACACCTTTAAAAATATGAACGTTCATGTGGGTAGTACACTTACATTTATAAACAATTTAATGTTTAAAATAAACATTCTATAATTACTTACGGTAATAGTAATGTGCATGTTCAATATATTATTTAATGGCGATGTTGGAAGATCAATTATAAATGTCTACAATTAGGAATTAATTAAATTATAAATGTATGTTATTAGTGAAAATAATCTCTTGTTTGATAATAAGTTATTACTTTGAAATATGATGGGGAAGTTGATGCTTTTCTGATTGTTGTTTTACCACGAAAATATAACGGAACTTCAACAATAACATATGTGTCAATGTGACTTTTACAATAATCTTTTCCTTCAATTACATTTATCATAATTTGGCTTTTGATTTGTTTTGTAGGTAATTCAATTTCACCTAGGTAATCAAGGTTATCCATATTATTTAAATATTTAAAAAATATAAACATTTATTTTAGAAAATAAGAAATTAGATACATACAAAAAAAAATAAAATAAACAAAATACCCACAATAGTAACCATAGAATCATGAATTTCGTTATATATTTATTTAATACTACCTGAATTATCCGGCTTTGCCCGTGTATAGGTAGTTTGTGCTTTCTAAAAATTTTACTTAATTTTATCAAGTGCTAAATAGTAATAGTAGCTAAATTATAAATAAAACAAAAATGTTATGATCATTCGTAGGTGTATTTGGTACAACTCTGTAAAAAAAAATTGGAAAAACGTTAAATAGTTTCGTCACAAAACGGAAACATAAAAAAGGGCTGTTCTTTTATATACATAAAGATATATTATGTTATATTCTATAAATTATAAATATGTAGTTGTATTTTTGTAGGCATGCATTATAAAAAAGGTGTGTTATTTTATTTTTTAATGAAAGGTTTAATTTAATTAATTAATTTAAAACTAATTCTACTAATTGATAGATACTTGTATCTATCATCAATTAAACACTTTTTCTCGTTGTTACTAATAATCATTTTTTTAATTTTCATCACGAACTTTTTAACAATTAATAGATACTTACTTGAACCTATTAAACAAAGAAGATGTAACGACAGTTGATATGTTTAAAACTTATCGTACTAAACAAATAAGTTTTACGCATGGTCATATTTTACAATATGATATACTATAATTTGTAATAAATCATGCTGAAAACTATATAGAAACATAAATGGAAATTCTATCTACGATCTACCGACAAAATTGAGTAGCAGAAATTATTCGATGAAATATCAACATTTATTATCGGTATATTGTGTAGAGTCGGATAATTTTAAACAATGGACGGAATATTCTTATATAATTGGATATGTTTTCAATTTTACCCATTTTGTGTGAATGTGTTGAGCGTAGATGTTTTAGATTTTTTGTGTAGCTTATCATTACATATTAGAATAGACAATTTGTTTCAATCATCAACTTTGAAAGTAGTTTTTGTTTAGTACGTATTTAGCAAACTTGATCTAGATTTTTAAAAATAACATAAATAACAAAAAAACGCAATACAAATTTTTGATAAAACCCATTTTATATTTTTATTGTTATTCAAAAATAATAAAACCAATATGACTTGAAATTAGGACTTACATACTTTAATGAGGTAAAAACGATGGTGCAATTAATATTTTTCAATTGGAATGGTTTCGATATTAAAACCTTTTAATTTTTTTATTTTGATTTGTTTCATAATAATTATGAAAATTATTGTCGAGCTATGACGTAATATTTAAAATATTTTACTTTTTTTAAGACATTTGAGATTTTTAGTTATTTTTTATTGTTTTTTCGTATTATGTTGGTGGTTGATAAAATAATTATTTCTTGCTAAAAAATCTAGAGCATAATATAATATATATATACATATATATAGTATTTTCAGATTATTTTTTGGAAAAGATTTTAAAGCTTAAACTTTGACTAAATTAAAAATTAAATAACGAAATTTTCTCAAAGCATTTTTATAGTAATTTCGTTATAATTCTGAAACTATTAACCGTTGCATCTTGAAACACAGCAAGTATTTTATTATTTCTTCTATAATAATTACATTATTATTGTTTAATAGGTACATATCACCGATGTCCAGAAACACGATCTAAGATCTTTGAATAGTTGAATGTACAGGTATCATAACAATAGTTAAATTATTGTCCATGACGAAAATAAATTTTTATCGCACTATTTTCGTACTATGACCAATCACCATTTATCATAGATCTTAAACGACTAGTGAGAGCTGAAAAAAATGAAAAGTATGAAAGCATGTTTTTACGATTAAACTTTATTACCAAGACGGTCTCTTAACAGACTCCAAAATTATAGTTTAATAGCAGCTAATCGTAATGGTTGAATAATGTTAACAATATTCATAAACATAAATACATAATATAATATTTATGTACATACCTACTACCTATTATAATATTATACTACACTTATAGGTATATAGTATATTACACGGACTAAAATAATAAGCGACGATTCGCTTAATTGAAGGACACATTTGTGTAACAATGATTTCGCTGGTACCATAAACAATAAGCACATTTTAGAAGATATATTAAGATAAATGGTTTTATCAAAAACCGTTTTAAAAACAATTGTATGTCAAAATCGTTTACTAATTACTAAATTACTAAAACTTTGCTCCAATCACAATATCCGATTTTTTTAATGGTTTAGTATTTCTGGTAGCTTTGATAAAACGTTTAATACAATAAAATATCTCTTTTAGAATCGTTTTAGCTTTACACAAAAATCATATTATTTCGTGTCAGTAAATAGTCAAAAAACCGTTGACTTTCGTTACCTCCATAAGAATTCATTTATTGACAATTGTAATATTAATTTACACATAATTATTTATAATGTATAATGTATCAATTATATCACACCCGTGTATTAATGTTTCATAAGAATATTATGTTGCTAAGTTATTAGAAGGTATATTATGACTCATTGTATAACCATGTTTACATATGTTTGATTTTATGTATCTAAAATTGTATAAACTGTAGTATATTTTATATAGTATACTCATTATTGTTATTTTATTATATTTTATCCCTGAAAAATGAACACACATATAAAAGTCAAACCGATAAGAAATTTTGTCAAAGAATATGATGATCCAAGACAGTAAGAATAAAAAAAATGGGTATTAAAAATGTAGGTTTTATTTAAATTAACAATTTTCTATAGAATGCATCATGCTTTACAAGAACAAAAAAACGCCTTTTCTAGACTGGATTTAATAAAAAAAAAAAGAGAGCAATTGGATATCGATATAGAAAAACTTAATATTGAAATGAGTGAATTTAAAAAATACGTACACGTCAAATCACTTAAAGCGGAAGTACGATATACATTATAAATATAACTATATTAATATAAAGGAGCGTCATAGAACGTAAACCAGTGTTGACCATAGATTTATATACATTATATTATGTAGATTGTAGGTATATTTTTAAGTATCTTGAAATATTAATAAATAATAAGTTATTCAAATCCCTTCCCACTTCGGGTATACCACCGAGTCTGGTCGAAATTATAATAAAAATAGTATAACATTTCATTTAAAGTAAAAAAAGGTCTGTTTCTTTACATTTTGGTCTAAATTAAAAACTGCATTCTATTTTCATAAAAATAAATTTTTAAGGTATGATATGAGTAATGAGTATATTATATAATATAGAGTATATGAAATCAAAATCTGCGAATAAGATTCTTTCCCTATTCAAATGACGTTGAATAAATTTAATAATTAACAGTTTTGGCATATTAAATAAAAAAAAATACAAATATTTAATAATATACACTTTATCTTATGTATTAATTTTCATTTATTTTTTATAATTTAAAATATTGATAGGCCAATATAAGTAAAATAAAAATAAAATACCAAATAGTTAATAATATAATGCTCTATAATAGATCTTTTTTTATTTTGTTACAGGATTACATAGACACGATTGACGAATGTGAAAATATTATTAGAAATGAAAAAATGAAACAAGAAGATTATCAAAAAAAAATTAAGTCTATAAGTATTAACATAAAAAAATTAGAAAGAACGGTTCAAGATGCAAGGTCACGCATTATAAGTTATAAACCTTATGAGGTATGTTATACTGTTATCAGTACAATATTAGTACAACAATATGCTAATGTGAAAACTATTTCCAAAGCATTTTTGTTCACGTTTTTTAAAATAACACCAAATACTTCAACCAGACTTAATATTGTAAATTGTAATTTTATTTAAGGTGATATGATTATTGGTGTACTTTCTACATTTTGCGAATATATCAAATATTTCTTTTTGATACACTAAAACTGGAGCTTGCAATTTTTAAGTATCAAGCATCAATCTTTTATTTTTTAGAATCATGATTCCAATCTTAACACTCTATTGAATAGTTTTATTTTAAATAAAAATGACTGTAGTTAAATTTACAAATATAGTCAAATGATCAAATCAACTTGTACAAATTTAAACTAAAATCCAAAAACCAAAATCTAGCGTTAAAATTAAGCACTTAAAAAAAGTACCTACAGTTTGTATAACACTTATCATCACCAATAGGAATAACATTTTTATTTTATTTTATTGAACTTAAGCCCGGCGACTAGGGCCATTAGCTGTTGTAGGGGTTATGAACTGTGGTAAGGGGAAGGTTGGTACGGTAAGTTGTTTTTACGATTGTTACGGTTGTTACGGTTATTACGGTTGATAGCAAACACATGTATATGTGGCAAGGTTTTAAACCACTATTAACTCGAATGGTCACCCATCCGGTAGCTAGTAGCTGTGGCCGTTACTTACTCCCAGTCATAACTGGTAGCAGCCAACACGCCACCCTAAGCCACAATAACATTTTTATAATTTTTGAAAAAGAGTATTTATTATTTCAATACTTCTTACTATACAATTTAAAACCATAAATCTCAATATAACCCGATTTGTCCATGCTGTAAACTAAAATAATGAGTTTTACAACTAACATTGAATCGCAAAACATTGAATATATACAAATATATATTATATTTATATTGATTTATTAATTTGTATTAATATTATATTATAAATTCATAAGTTTTTCGATCCTATCTTTAGAAATTTATTTCAAAAGTGATTGCGAAAAACCCTCGATATGAAAATGTGTATGACATCATTAAACATGTCGAAGAAATGGCTTGTATAAGAAACATAGGTTCAGCATTAAAAGTATCTGATTTTAATGAAAAAGAAAAAACAAATAACGATAGTTTAGAAAAAGTATTATAAAATATTACTAAGATTTTTTATCCAATTACATAATTATTTGTAATTTTTTCAATTTGTTATAATTTTAGATTCAACATAAGAAAATAAAAAATAAAAAAATAACTTTAAATGTACACTTTAACGAACCTCGGACTTATCTAGATGAACTTAAGAAAGCTGATTTACAGTATATTAAGAAGAAGGCAAACATTAAATCTGAATATACCACTAAAGTAAAATAAAATATTCTTATGCATTGTGCGTTATTAAGTATTACGACCTACAATATAAATTTACCCAAAAAATTGTTTTCGAGCAGTCAATAATAATTATTATTAACTATACAAAGGTCTTTTTTTTTAATCCTTAGATCATTCTTTCTTAAATTTATATCATTTTTTCTTTTAATTTAAATAGGTATAATTCTGGTATATATTTAGTTTTAATCTGTGTAATCCTCATACAATTATTTTTAAATCCTCAGTATTTTAAGACATTAATATTATACTTATATCTTATAACTTATTAGATACATTTAAATCCTGTCAATCAAATTTACCTTAATTCGAATCTGGATATAATGAAAGAAAAACATAGATTTTCACAGTTGAAAGACTTCCAAAACGAAATACAAGAAAGAGAAAAAGAAAATAACTTTGTATGAAAACAAAGAATTATTATTTTTACAAAAATTTAAATTTAAATCTAATTGTTGAAATTTTTTTAAAGGTTTTCAGTTCAATTTTACATCAGTATAGGGAATTATTTTTGAAAAATAATGGAAAATTACCAACAGAATTTCCAACAGCAGAAGAACAGTTAACATACATTTTTAATTTCTACAAAACACTAGTAAAACGATTTGAAATTTATGAAAACCTAATATCAGGAAAAAAATCAGTAAAAGATTATATTTCGGAAACAAAAAACCAAAACTCTAGAACATTTCCTAGTAATCACAGTATTAAGTCTGATTGAAATATTTGGTGTTATTTTAAAAAACGTGAACAAAAATTCTTTGGAAATAGTTTTCACATTAGCATATTGTTGTACTAATATTGTACTGATAACAATATAACATACCTCATAAAGTTTATAACTTTTAATACATGATCTTGCATCTTAAACCGTTCTTTCTAATTTTTTTATGTTAACACTTATAGATTTAATTTTTTTTTTTGATAATCTTCTTGCTTCATTTTTTCATCTCTAATAATATTTTCACATTTGTCAATTGTGTTTATGTAATCCTATAACAAAATAAAAAAAGAGCTATTAGAGCATTATATTATTAAATATTTGGTATTTTATTTTTATTTTACTCATATTGGCCTATTAATATTTTAAATTATAAAAAATAAATGAAAATTAATACATAAGATAAAGTGTATATTATTAAATATTTGTATTTTTTTTTTATTTAATATGCCAAAACTGTTAATTATTAAGTTTATTCAACGTCATTTGAATAGAGATAAAATCTGATTCGCAGATTTTGATTTTATATACTCTATATTACATAATATACTCAATACTCATATCATACTTTAAACAGTTAAACATTTATTTTTTATGAAAATAAAATGCAGTTTTTAATTTGAAGAAATAGACCTTTTTTACTTTAAATGAAATTTTATACTATTTTTATTATAATGTCGATCGGACTCGGTAGTATACCCGAAGTGGAAAGGGATTTGGATAACTTATTATTTATTAATATTTCAAGATACTTAAAAATACATCTATAATCTACATGTAATGGATTTGAAAGATATGAGGTCTTTGGCAATTTAACAGTTTTAGTAATTAATATTAATCTATCAAAATTTACAAAATGGTTGTAAATATGGACTTATATCAAATTTTAAATAATTTCATTATTAAATGGAAAAATAGGAATGAGCATACTTATTGATTAATCACCTTAAGCTTTCAATTTTTAAATCTTTCAACTCCTATCACACTATAATTTGTAACTATAGTAATTGAAATATACTAACAAAATAAAATATTTTTTAATTTATCAGTTAAAATATTATAATTCATTAAATTTCCGAAGAAAAATATTTTTTGAATTTTATTTGTTAGTACTTCTATAATTTATATCGAAGATGTTACGGATTCAATTCGAAATCTCAAACTCAAATATAAAAAAATATGTGTTTATAAATTTAGCCATATGTATTGTGAGTATATACCTTAATGTATATAAATTTTATACTAGTATTAATTTTATTATTATTTAAATTTTATGGTCCTTGTCATTGTCTATTGGGAGTGATTCAATTTCGTAAATTAAATTAAACCACAGCGTCACTTACGTTATATATAAATATGTTCATCCCTTAAACGACAATATAACGCAGCGTCCAAAATGTTTCAAAATTAGTTCTGGAGGCTATAACATCCAACAATTATACACTGTGAAATGCGAATTATGATTAAGAGAAAACTTTAAATTAAGATATTTACATCAATTTAATGCTTTTAAAATTTTCGAACACTTCTTAATATTTAACACGTTAAAAGTGTAATATCTATACGTGTGGTTACGAATTTGTTACCAACTGAAACTTAGTTTAGTTAAACATAATATGCAAATTTTCAGCTTAAATAATCAGCTTCGCTCGCGGTTAAAAAAATACAGTCACCATAAAATTATACAAATAATTATTAAAAAATCTTTACATAAAAAACGCTTTACTTATTCTTTTTTTATATATACAATAATTAAAACATATACATGCGATGTTAGTATAGTCAATAATTTTACACAAGGTATTGACGTATTTCGAGTTAATAAATTCAGTAAACTACATTACATTCTTCATTGTCGTCGGAGCTGTATTAAAGGTAAGATTGAATCTTTCACATACTAAATCATGCATAAACCGAAATACGGTGAGTTAAAAATTTAAAAAAAGTATTTGCTGATAGATCAAAACATTATATAATAATTTATGTTTTTTTAGGGGAATATCATTAGTGCTATGCCTTACGCACTGATCCTAACGGCAATCGGATGCGTTTTTGACACTTTTTCTGTTTTTTTCCGCACCACTGAGTACATAACTATATTTATTATCATTATTATTTTTTTTTTAGTTCAGTATTGAAGTCAATTTTTTTACTACTGTTATAATACTAAAATGCCAATTAATTGGTAAAATATTATTTTTAAATAATATTTTTAAAAATATTTTTTGTTGAAGTTATGATAATTCGAGTTGGGCCTATATCAAATTTCTTCATTGTATTATGAACATTTTCAGTAAGTACCTATACATGTATAAATATATTATAAAACATAACGATTATTTTTTTTTAAATAAAAATTAATTAATTGAATAATATTTTTAAATAGATTAACTAAGTAAATGAACAAAAGTCATAAGTACAAAGTAGAATTTAGCAAATAATATTTTAAAAATATATTTATGATAATACAACAAAATAAAATCAAAATAACTTTAGCTAAATTATTGGGTGTAGACGATGATCTTTTATATCGAGAATCGTATTAAAAAAATAATCGTTCTAATAATTAACACTACTATTTCCTGTTAAACTTAATTTATACCACTGCTATACTTACATAACTATAGTGTATATTTTATATAGTTCTCCTGTATATGTTCCTCTACATATTGATGTTATATTGTTATTGGCTGCATTCTATGACCGTGGCTCAAAAAAAACAAATAAGACTCCAATTGGGCTTATATGATGTAGATACAATATAGAATTATCCTGCTCAAAAGGAAAAATATCTACTATGAGTTACATTACATTTTACAAAATATATGGTGTGATACGCTTTGAGTTTATTGCCTAACAATATTTCTATTTTTAAATCATCTTTTAAATTTTCTAAATAAAATTAAACTCTTTATACTATTCTTTAGTATTATAGCTGAATTAATCCTGCTTTAATTTAAACAAAAATATATTACCTACCCCTACCGGTTACAATCTATTAAAATTAATTTATGATTTTGAAAAATAAAGATTATGCTGGTTATGATATAACTATAATTTATATAGTATACAAAAATTAACAGTATTTATGAATTTTTATTTTATTATTAGAAGAACTTATACAAAATATAAATTTAGATAAAGTATATATATATATATATTATTTTTATTCCATTTTATCATGAATTTACAGTTATAATTTGTTACTTCTAGACATATAAAATATCCAGTGTTCCAAACTAAAAACATGCAATTATCTACGCGAGAAACAGTTTAAAAATTTACTTCATAATACGTTAATGTTTGTATAAAATTATCAGTTCTTAAACTTAAAAATTTTATGCATTTTTTACAACAAAATTGAAAATACCAATTGCTTATTTTTGTATTAATGTATTTCTTTAAATTTAGCTTATGAAACAATTACAATAGAAAATTCTATTAAAATTTAGTAAAAATGTAATTTCTTTATGGCTTTTTATTTTTAATTACCTACAACAAAAATACAAAATTGATTTTATCGAAAGCTAATTTATTTTTTTCACAGTGTGAATTATTGAATAATTTAAATTATATGTATTTAAGTTCACTTGAAATAATTTTATTTTAAAAATTCTTATAATGCATTACATTTAATGATAGGCATTTTTTTTTCTTTTTGTTATGGACCTATATTATTCTTGCTCCATATTATATAAAGTTGAATAATTTGAAAACAACTCGTTTGAATTTGAATTTTAACATGTTAAAATTTTCAAAAAAATTAATAAATATATAATATGTACAGTAGAAAAGAAAAATTCTCTTTTGAAAAACAGTAGCTTGTATTTCCATAAGCAATTTTTTAAAAAATACAAAAAAATTTGAAAAATTTAAAAATATGGGCTTAAAGTTTAGGTATACTTAAAAACTTCAAAAAGCAGATATTGAATAACTGTAGTGTTATATGAAAAATAGATAAGAATAATAGGTAAATCAATCTGTATATAAGTTAAACCATACAATTTTAAAAATAAATGCCTAAAAAACCGCTGTAAATTTCATTTTTCTATATTCAAAAAGATATATAACTATTAATAATTTTAAAAAGAACTTAAATGAAATATTTTATACCGATAAAACGTAATTATTGGGGTCTAAAATATATAGTGTATAAACTTTTATAGTTAAAAAGTAAAGACTAAAGAAATGCATTAACTCAGAAATCAAAAGAATTTCATATTGCAAGTTAATAATATTATTGTAATAGCCAACTTTTAATCTTATAATTCGTCTAAAAATCATTTATATTAATAAATTTTTCTTACAAAATTGAAAATCGTCATTTTAGATTCTGAGTGAAATGATTTTACACTTACGCTTTTCAATGATGTGTGTGTGTGTGTGTGTATTTTTTGTCTGAACATACTTTTTATAGGAGAAAAATGCTTCAATCTTCAACTCTGAGTGTGATTTTTAAAAGTAAATCCGATCTAGTTTGGTTTTACTTTTTCTTAAAATAAAAATTCCACAATATTCTTCATAGTAATTTGCATATAATAAAGTGGCTTACTTATTACTTAATGACGAAATATACTCGTTATGTCTTATACCAAGAAACGATTTCCCCGGTTTTTTATTTTTATTCATTTGAAATGGGTAAAATAAATTATAAGCTTTGATAATTGATTATGTATTAAATAAACCAACTATACAGTTATTAATACAAAAATGATTAGAAATTCAATAAAATTAAATTACTTTAACAGAACATTATAACAATTATTGAAGACAACGCCCATGTCAAAGCATCTAAACATGTCAATAATTTAATTTAAATGAATAATATTGTTAGTTATTTAAAATAGGAATATTAGTATAATATCTATGTAAGTAATATCGATATTTAAAAAAATGTATCATAAAATGTTAAGTTTGGAGTGCTGATAAAATGTAATCAGTTGATTTACTGTGTAGTGTGCAGTAAGAGTACCATTAGGATTAGTATACCATTGTTTTACATCTATTGTTGATATTTTGTACTTATTTCTTCTGGCATTAAAATATATTGACTGTAAATGGGTATCCGCAATTTTAAACATAATATTAAAATAAAAATTGTTTTCTAATTTAAGAAATATCATGTTTGTGTAGAGGTACTTACTAATTATTAATAAATAAAAAATAACTTAAAAGTAGTATGAACAATTCAATTATTGTTAACAATATATTATGTTAAATTGATTCGTCAAAGAAAAAAAATTATCATTAAAAGGTTATAAATATTGTATTAAAATAACACATGATTAAAAACACCGGATTTCTATATAATATAGTTGAAAAAACCTTGTTTGTACTATAATTTTATCTCAAAATCACTACCAACAACTGAATAACATATAAAATTATGGCACATTAAATATTATTATCATACTAATAATGAATAAAGAATAGAAATAACATACATAATAATACATGATGTAGGTACTAACAAAACATTACATTATTTTTCTTAAAGCACATTACAATATATTATTTATAATGACAATAAACAATAACTGCTCGTGAACTTTTTTGATGTGTATAGTGAGTAACTAATTATAAAATAAATAAAAAGAAAAATGTGTAATAGGTATTATCATCCCGACATAATATATGCACACATAGTTCTGTAAAAACTGATTAACAATCGACACACCCTAAAAGACAATAATATTATTATAATTAATATACAACAAAGCGTTTTAGGTCACAAATAACTCGATCTTTTAAACTCGTGGACATTTTCATCTCCAAAGAACTCATATATCAACATTTTCTTTAAAATATTTCAAGCCAATTAAAAATAATCAAATGTTAATAATATAAAATAATAATAATAATTAGCTGTATAATAACAATGTAAACAAACGAATCTAATCAAAAATCTACTAAATGATTCAGTCTTAAACATACACTTATAATAATAACAATATGATCAATTATATATGTATAATAAAAAATAAATAATAATAATAATAATAATAAATAAAAGCATGTCAGTAATTTGGTTTAGTTTAAATTAAATAATTGGCAAACTATAACCAAACATTACTCATTTTACTACATGATGTCATTTAGGAGTTAGAAGAAAATATTGTCAAAAAACAGTAGTATTTTGAAAAATTGTCCAACATTCATGTTAATGAAGTATTTGTTTAAAATAGATTTAAAAAAAGTTAGTAGTATTCCTAATGTTTATCAGTCAACTTTCACTATAAGAAAGTTTCTTCGCTTAACTTTGGTATTCACCAATATTGGTGCTTAAAAATACAGGAGTGATAAAAATGTATATTTGATCTACGATTACTTTTAATTAATTGTTTATAAGGATAACTTTTATATAAATAAATAACAATTTATGTGGTTTTAATCGTACAAATTGATTGCATATCGGTATATTAGTACAGCAGTGATATAATAACAATCTTTACGACTGACCAATGATCAATTCAAAAATAAAATGAATAACCAACAACGAATAGTATAGTTGAAAGAGTCAGTATCAAAGTAAAACCGTTTTTATCGAAAAATTCTATTTTAACGATTTCGATCTAAAAAATTATCGAAAGCATTTAATTTTAAAAACGTAATGAAATTGTATGTACATATATATTTCATTATATTAATAATAATAATAACAATAAAAACAAAAAATAAATATTGACTTATTAATGCTCCATTAATGATTGTGATAATGTAAGCACATTAAAAAAAAAATCTAACCACAGGCTTAAAATATTTATTTCGATACTAACTCCTTCAAATTCAACATATTATGTACGAGCAGGTCAATTTAATAACAATAAAACATTTCTATATGATGTAAAAGCTACGCGTTTTCCTCATAATGTTTATACAATAATATTAATACAATAATTTCTCTATATAAGTGCATTTTATATCGTACGTCAGATAAAAAAGGGCTGTCGCAAAATATTTGATGCCGGTCGATTCGGCCACGTGAAGTGTATATTTTAAACTATATACACAATATATAACTCATGTTTATAATTAAAACATGTCGACCGAATCTCATTTTTTGTAAGCGCCTAAATAACTGAAGTGGTAATTAGAGCGAATAAATAAAAAATTCAACAATATTAATTTTACCATAACGCTATTATCACAATAACTGCGCGCCTAAAACCTAAAGGGGTTCTCTGGTAACTTTTATAATACTAATATTTTTTTTTTACTAAAATTAACTACAATCAAACATATTCATTGAGCCTTGTTGATTATCCAAAGTACATATTATTTTTATTATAATGAAGCTTGAATTTTTCCTACACATTATTAAAATATTTTATTGATTACTAGGTAATTAATAATTAATAACATGATATTATGATGAAAAATAGACGATAGATCAAAATATTGATAAATTAAACTAACCCTGTCATATACTGTGATTTTATTATTAATATCAATACTATTTAGTTTATGCACTGATTCGACTGGTTAGTATAAAACACAAATGATGTTTTTAATAATTGAAAACACCAATCAAATAAAACAGTAGAATACAAATTTTATAACAATTTGTTAATATTTTTTATTTTTATACTTATAACGAGTGCATTGAAATTATTTAATTAGATAATAAAAATGTATTATTACTTATTTAAACAAAAACAGTATGTTGAAACTTGAAATTGTTAATCATAATTTTTTGATGGGACAAGTTTTATTTTAAAACAGTTTAAGCAAAACTTTTCATACGTTAAATATATTCTTTAAGTAGGCATCTAAATAAATTATTATTATGATTTCTGAACCTCTTCGTTATAAACAAATTGTACTGATGTTTAATTCTATTATATAAGTACATAGAGATTATCATATATTTACGGTACATGGACATAAAATGATTATTAATTGGTGTTTTTCAAAAATTTAATTTTCCCAATCGAATATCGATACTGAGTGTATTACTAAAATTTAGAAAATGATACTAACTATTTCGATTGCTTACTTTTCATTCGGTGCGATTAATATGTTAAATTGAACGATTTATTAAAAATGTGGCAGGCTCAAGTCATTATAGTAAAAATAATAATTATTATAATGATAATAATAATAATAACACTACAATAGGAACAAACAACTCGTATTAAAATATAATTCCAAAAGTGATTATTGTTAAAATACGCATTTCGTTTGTTTACATATTATTTAGACTACACCTATATTTTCATACATTTAAACCTCGACAAAACGAATCAATGCGATTTAAAAATTGTAGGCATATTTTATAGGGTGGTAATTGAAACCACGATAAAAAGTCGTACCATGATTTCAGAGTTGGGCGTAAAAATAAAAATATCTATTTTATTTTATTTTGTGATAAAAACAAATAATTCAATATCGAAAATTATTAATCTCTATTTAACTGATTAAATTTTATAACTTATATATGAATTAGATTATTGATTGGAAGCCCTGTAATTTAATATGATTTGTATTTTGTAAACTTTTTAAGAAGTAAATGTTATTTTTCTTTAAGTTGTTGCCCAACTCTTTCTGTTGATGTATATTATACATATCAATTTTATTTGCCTGTAAAATATATATTCATACGTGATTTAATGATCTACTAATTTACAAGTTGTTCCAAAACAATTTAAAAACAGTCTATAAAAAATAATTTTTTCTACAATGTTCCGAAAAACACCATTTAGTATGACATGTATGATTATACTGGCTCTATCGACACACTAAAATTATTGAAAACTCTCCTAGTTCATGGATGTCTCCATAAGTTCGGGGGTATACAACCAACGACAATTTTAATAAATTAGATTTCGTTTAAAACAATTTTTTTTTTTTTATCTGAATAAAACGTAAACAAATGGACGAATGATTGTTCTCGGGAAGAACATTCGATTAATAACAAAAACAAAGTTCAACAATAATGATTATTAAAAAAAAAAAACATCAACATAATACTTAACTTAGAGGAAGTGATCTTCCATGTCGAGTTGTAGTAACTCAAGTTCAGCGCGACTTTTCCGTTTGCAAAATACCGTCAAACACAACAATCTGAGCATAACGCGGAACTGTGGGCTAAGAAATATGAGCACAAACGCCTTCCACACCGAGTTGGAAATTCCCAGCCATAAGGCAGCGAAACGGACATGGCCAGGCACCGCCGGTACACCACCCAGTTGCTGGTATGCTTTGATGGACATCAATGGGGTCCAACAAATCCAAAACGTTACGATCAACACGAATGACGTGACGTGTGTAGGATTAGATAAGTTTTCAGACAACGCTGTTACGTATTCCTGCATACAACGATAATAGACGATCATTATAATGTAACTTAATAACTAAATTAATAATCAAATGAATTATTATAATATTATGTATGGTTGTATTAACCATTGTGATTATTTAAAAAAAATCTTCAGGTAAATATGTGATGCTTAAATAATTTTTAAGTTATAGTATTATTTAATAATTAGGTAATTGACATTACATATACAATATTTACGAATATTAAAATTAGACTTTATTCTATACATAATATAATGTTGGTTGTGTATTCAATCATTCATACTATTTTATTAAAATGGAAAATATTGGATTATGTCGTTTATAAAATAAATGGCATTTACCATTTTAGACTAGGAATCACGTTTCTTAAAACATATTTACATAAAGTTTAATGAATAAAATTACAATATTTGATTTATTTTTTTTATTGCAGTTGTGTGTTGTTTTAATAGTTCTAAATTTTTGACATTTTGACTAATATAAAATAGTATATTATTTACGCAAATGTATAATGTCAAAAAAATCGGGTAATTTTCGACTCACTATTCCAATAAAATCCAATTAAAAAGAAATGTAACCGGTCCCTTTAATTTTTTAATTATCGTCAAAATTTAATAAGAAATCTACCGTAATTTAATTTAAGCAATTTAACAGTTAAATTTAATTTATTTGACTAAAACCTGAATAAATTATCATGTACATATAACTCACTAAATTATTGAAATTAGGTGTTATACTACGATAGTGCTAGTTAATCTAGCTTATTTGTGAATATTTTAATTTTGATGGAAAAAAAGCATTTCTTGTTCAAATAATTATATACACATATAACATAAATATTAAACGACAATGATTTTGTTTGTTAAAAATTATAAGTTTTTAATAAATCCAATGTCTTACCTATAATAATAAAAAATTATTTTAAGCCAACGACTTAAAATAAATATATATTATTTAAAGTTTTGAAGAAATATTATGCCACTATTAGGATTTTCAAGGTTTCACCTTATCAGCTTAAAGACAAGTAATCCACAAGAACTTTAAAAAGTTAAACTTAAAATAAGAATCAAGAGTTAAGTTGAGAAATATTTTTCAAAAAAAAAATATCAAGTTTGGGTATTATTTAAAAACTTAGAGTATTGCCGAGGTAAACTAAAACTTTTAGAGCATGTAAATATCCAACTAATGCTCTGCATATAAAATCAAAGAATTTTAAACCTACGCTTTAATTATATAAATTATTAATTGTTCTTGAGTTATGTATTAAATATATACTAAATTAATTCTTAGTGTTTAATTATACTTACTATATTTACTTAAAAAATACAGTTGATCGGATTAATTAAAAATCATATCTAAATTATTGTATTTTAAATTCGGATAATAATTTGTTTTAATCTTACATAAATAACCATCGTATACAATAATTTATGTTCTCAGTCCACCCCAACTAAATGTCATAAACATTAATGTATTATCATAAAATTGTTATTAATGTACATATCGTGACAAGTGACAAAACAAATAATGATAGAAAAACTTAAAGATAGCAATCTAAGTTAATATTTTATGCTTATTAAACTATATTGTAAGATAAATATAGTAGATATAATATAAAATATAACTCAGATTTATGTATTATATTACTATATTTTTGAGGTACAAAATTAGTGCCACTAACTACAATTACCATATCTACGACAAGCGTATTTATTGGCAATAGGTGCAATCTCCTAAACTATGTGCTAAAATGTATTTTAAAAACATAAAAATATAGTCAATATCAGATTAAAAACAGTTAACGTGAGTCAAATCCCGAATCGGATACATTTATTTTGTATAAAAATCATTTATAATTTCTATACTGTATTTATTACATATTAAAAATTATTTTAAACATCTACACCTAATGAAACAAATAAAATTAATTTAAAGATTTACTACAAAATTATTAATTTTGTGTTGTATTTAGTTCATTACAATGTATTTCAAATATTTAGCATATATACTGTTATATAATGATATATAAGTAATGAATATTTTAATTTTAATATTATATTTTTTTAATATTATATTATGTAAAAACAGCAATATTATTTATTATAACAGTATGTATAATTATAAACTATAAAGCTATGAGCCTATGTATATATAAGTAAGTTACGCCTATTTTATAACTACATCGTGATTATGTGCAAATATACAATCGCTTTTTATTATAAAAATATTTATTTCGTAAGGTTGTGATTTTCGTCTTTTTCTAGATAAAATAAATCCAATAGTTTAACACTGTCCTATCGGATGAGTATTTAGCCAATGTTGTACACATACTGAAACATTATTATCGAGCTTTTGTTAATGATATAATATATTTTTTAACCGTTTACACGCGCACAATAACTAGTTACATATCTTCTAAGTTTAAATACTGTTCTGTGATGTTAAGTATTTATTTCTTACACTTAAGCAGACAAATTCCATAGCTACACAACAGATTTCTTGGTGCTACACAGTGCTCCTTATATATTTCTATGATTGTTAGAACTATAGCACTAGTCATAATATTTAAGGAATGTAACTTCTTTTATATCAATACTTATTATTCATTATGAAACCTATTTTTTCATTTAATTGATAATTATTGGAAGCTGACAAGTACTTACTACTTTTATATAAGTTTTTAAATGAACATACAAACATGATTCATAAACAGACTATTAAAAATACTTTTTTTCATTTTTTTTTCTTCTTTTATTAGTGTTACAAATTCTTATATTATCTATACAGTTTTTACTGCATATAATCTTCAGTCTAGATATAAATATTATTATTAAATATTATTGGTAATAACAGCTAGAATTATATTTGTTTTTATCGTTGCGAGTTCACAATTAAGTATTGCCTTCTGAACCATCAACCATACAGATACAATAAAGAAAACTAAAACCAGACTAAAATATGGTCGTAGTCCTTCCTAAACAATTGTCCATAATAAATTATTCACTCAACCTCGTTTATACAGTGCTGTAAGCTAAGTCGTAGCTGTATGCGTCTATATATGTATATGATTGGCATAATATAATTTATGTCTACAATTTCAGTATTATATTATTTTATACCTTGTCGTGTGCTAGAAAGCCGCGCCGCAGCCGTCTAATCGCACCATAGATATACACGTACGTGTACAGGATAGTGATCAGACTGGGCCCCAATACCAGTATGGACAACGTCACTGAATATGCCGCCATTCCCTGCCAGTCGAGCATACACACCGCCGTATCCTGGTCGAATACCGGATCACCGAACTCGAGCAGCGGTGGACTGCACAACATCGCCGACGATATCCACGTGAACGCCATCCAGCACTGACACCTGGTGCGCGTCTGTACCGTAAAGTACCGCACTGGTTTGCGTACTGCTATGTACCTGCGAAGAAGCACGCATCATGTACACGCGTATTATTTCATTGAGTGTATATGGCCGTAGTATAAGTATTTTTATGTTGTATTAGTACTCGGAGCAATGAGTTTCACACACACATACACATACTAACATATACATATTTATCTATTACTCGTCATATAGGTAAGGTCAAATTATTAGGAATAATTCTAAGTGTTTTGCTATTAAAATGTCACCCTGTATTATACATTGTGCGATTTATAAAATATGTAATATAATGTATTGTATTGTGTATTAAATAATGTTTCAGCACGCCATGTATTATTTTAAATATACACTGACTTGGGTTCGAGACCTGTAATAATATGATACAATATTAGACCTAAAAAAATCAATTGTTTTAGTACTAGATAGGTTAGGTTAGTGTGTAATGTATACTGATGGTATAAATGTTGATATTCAACCGTGAGCGTCCATCCAGGTGAAAAAGTTGAAGTATATTATTGTTTTAACATAAAAAAGTTTTCTATTTGTACAAACACACACACAAAATATATTTTTTAACTTTACGTGATGTTTAACAAACGATACTAAAGCTTTAACATTTTTTCCCTCCCATTCGAGTGTATTTTTAAAACGGGCTGTAGGATATACGTACAATACGATGGACATTAACTACAATGATGCCACTATATGATAATGATATCATGATGTACGTGATTTCAGACTATAGTGTTATATACACGCAAAATAAATGTTTAATGCATTATATTTTGGCGAGAATAATTTGTCCTTCCTCGTGCAGCAATCGTCGACGAGAGAATGTATACACATCGTGTAGAAGTGCAGAACACGCAACTAAGGCATGCGATCAAACTGCAATATAATAATATGTACTTATGAATTATATTATATATATGTGTGCCTAGTAGGAAGTACAATATTACGCAAAACCATTTTATACATAATAAATCTAGGTTGATCTAAGAATGAAAAAATGGTGTGTTAGATATAAAGTCATAACGATAAGCCATAAACATTTCAAATTGGCTATAGTTTATTTATCACATAATATTGTGTACAAAATAATAAATAAAAAAAATCATTTTTAAAATAAATGTTTGCCTATTTATATTCCACGAACTAGTTGTAATATCGGCGATGATAGGAAAAAAAACGAACGTGAGTTCGCGAGACGTATACCATGTACACACAGAATTGGAATAATTGAGTGTTTTACCTCTGAATATAAAATACACACCACGTGTCGGTAGGGCAAATGCTCGAAATCATATAAACCATTACAACAGAGTTAATAATCTTATGATGTTAGGTATGCATTACCTAACATAGTATATGTCAGTATATAAAGGTACCCACGTACTCCCCAAAAATCATTCGTTATAACAGCTGACTGCAAGTGATCCATTGAAAACACGATACTATTCCTATAGGCAAAATAAATGCTAATTTTTTTTAGATTTTGTGCCTATTATATACTCCGTATTAACTTTATTTTAATTTGAACTTTTGGAGCTAATATTTTAAAATGTAATGTACAAATACAATTTAAAATATATTTAAGCCATTTGAAACCATTATTATTATTTTTTGAAGCATTTGCAAAGTTAAGCAAATCAAGGTATTCAAAATATAGTAAAAATTCACCTGTATTTCACTCTGCTCTTGCATTTTTTTTTTTACTTTAACTTAAAATTATGTAATAATAGCATTATTTATAAATAAATAATAAACTTTTAGTTCAACATTCGACGTTTTCATTTTTAGAAGTATAATTTTTGACTACCATTTGAAGATTATAACTTAAAGAACTTAAGTCATTATATTTGAGAAATATGTAATATTTAAATTTGAGTTATAGTTGCCGATAACTAATTAATAATTTAAAGTACAGTAAAGAGTAGCCTCAAATACTACATGAATTTTTTTTAAACAGTTAATCGATATTTCTTAAGACGGCGTCTTATATAGGCAATTTAACACCATATTAAATGTTATGTAACCAAAATAGTAGGTATTATGATTCTAGTATTACGTATAATTAACACAAAATATATTTTAGATTTTGTATACCAATATGATAATAATTATAATCTCTCAGTGAACACCGTGTATTATTATAAAAACCTAACTATTATCACCTGTATAGAAGTAAAATGCGTTAAAATTGTTACCTGTCCACACTAATCCACATAAGTGTATATGCAGACACGGTCCACAGTGCAACTTCGATATATCCGATTATTCTACAAGCAATTTTTCCATAAACCCATTGTTGCACTAGTGCTGGATACACGGAAAATGGCACTACGAGCACACCGTAGAGCAGGTCGGCCAGAGCCAGTGACACCAAGTATACATTCATCACCTCTCCTCCACCTATTATGTATAGATGATGAATTATTAAAAAATTAAATTCAATACGAAAATAAATCTTATATTTTAGTTTCGAAATGGCATAATCAAGTTAAAATAACTCACTCAGTCTTAAAAAATTGTATTTTTATTATGCCAGAAATTTTTTTGTATAAATGGGTTAACGAATATAATACCTCTTATGTTGGTGAATGTAGCGATTATGAGGATATTAAGGAGGATGATGGCGACCGCCATGGTGAGCACCAGCGATGCCTGGGTTAAGGGCTCCAGGTTGTGGTGGGGGTGGGCTTCAGTAGTACGTGCCCACCGCCATTGTTGCTATCTGTCACACATCACAGCCTATATACAAATATATAAATATATCATTAGACAATTATTATTTAAATTACCTTGTTATCAAATTATAGATAAAAAGGATAAGATATGATGAAATTCATTCAATAATGTACAATGCATTCATATTATTTAACTAATAATAAAATAAATACTAAAGGTACTGTATTTTTCAAACTATTATTTTTAGTTTATTCCTCGAATTAAATTATATTGTACGTGTGTAAAGTAAATAGTTGATTTCATTAAAAAATTCTATTATTGTATTATGTAATATGTGAATAACCATTATATATTCAATGGCTTCCAAAGTTCCAACACAAAATCAACGCTAATAGTGTGTCCAATCGATAATATTAATAGACTTATATGGTTATAAATTTATATAGCTAGTATATCGTGCTATTTAAAAGCCTGTAAATAATACAAACTGTAACAACTATTGTTATATTTATTTCATAAAAGGGAAAATCAATAATGACGAATTACTAAAATTTATATTTATTTTTAAATTTATGAGAATTTGTTTGCTTAAAATGCATGTTTATCCATAAAGCGCGTACTATAAAATACTTAAGTATATATACTTTATCTTCTGTAAGGATTAAAATCGACATATTGATTTCATTATTATTAAAAAAGAATGTATTTTAAAATCATAAAATATCTATAAATAAAAATAATAGTAACAAAGTTGTGTTTCATTATTTATCACATCACTCTTAATAAGATATAAGAATATATAAAATTAAAAAAAAAATGTAAACATTAATAATGTAACAATTCAACTAGATTCGCGGGAGCAAAGTGCAAACTATATTACATCTTTATTATAGTGGGCGCTGAATAAATACCATTGTATTATACTATTCGATACTACTACCAGCACAACTATCTACTATATCACATTATTACTATATAGTTACTAGTTACTACACTACTATAATAAACTATAATAATATTATATACCTCATGATATATACATTACGACATAGATAAAATATATTTTATATTATATCATAGACACATATCGATCGGAGAACGATGGATGTTCGACTTTTATTACTATGCGCTCGTACCAACCGTTTAGCGTTTATAGAACGCCAAATTCAATAAGAACGTACAAATAATACGATCGACCTGGCAAAACGATTACATGATTTATGAAGAGAAATTTGAACTATTGTGTTATAGAGTAAGATGCACCACCATATCTATCGTGAACAAAATCTTGCCTAAGACGATGATAAAGAGGGAGGGGGAATAGTATTTTGAGAAAAGTTTATCGAAAAAAATAAATAAATAAGAGAGACGTTATAGGCTATAGCAGCAACGGACGACTGAAATTGACCATACACGTTGCGGAGGTGGCGAAGTAACGAGGGTCATTGCGAGAATTTGAATGGTTAGAGTGTGTACACTCATATAAAACAAAATATACGTTACACTTAAGAAAGTTTCCGAAACCGATGCGAATCCATCATTTACTGTAGCCGATCGTTCCGGTGCATCCTGTGGTAGATGATGTAGGTGTATGATGCATATCCGTATTTATTGAGAGCACGATTGGCGACGACATGACCGCAGTGGCGGCGGCAGAGATTCGTGATAAAAAACTATATGCGACGCTTTTATAACGAAAGCTTGGGAGACGTGTTATAAAATTGTCATTGTAATTAAAATAATAATATTATGTCGACATCACTTATCACCATAATAGGTATTATCGTCGGTCGCCCGTCGCTGCCGTGTAATATAACATTATACATGCAATATTTTTGTTTTGTCATGCATCGCATTTATCACCGACGCCCGCCGTACCGTCTGTATTGAAGAGGTGTATAACAATTTATTATTAAACGAGATAACGAATTATGTCGACTGAGAGACAACGGAGACGGTATTAACGGCGCGCGTCAGAGTGCCGTATCGTTGTCGAGTCCGAATGCAATACGTATTTTATAGACACAACGGTGAGCCAAAAAAAAAAAAAAAATTGACCCAGACCGGCGCCCCGTTTACCTACCCTCGAGACGATATTGTGTAACTTTCGTTCGCCTTTATTTGCCAATATGAATAGACGACAACGACTATATCACGATTACAGTATTATACATTTTAAAAAAACGATAAAACGTAACAGACAATAGTTATTCGAAAACGACGACTATTACCTACGCGACAACGTTGACGAGTACACGAACAGAAAAAATACCCATATTCGCGTATACAACATATAACATTATATATATCATGATATAATATACATATTACATATACAATATATTATATAAGTATTTATGTGTGTGTATGCGCGCGCGCGGGTGTGTGTGTGTGTGCTCACCAGATTCCGGTAACATGGCGGTCGCGCTGACGGGGTCGAAGTGCCGCAGCGGATGTGATGAATAATAATTGTAATTGTCGTGATGATTATATATTATATTGTTTATATATTGTACATATATATATTTACAACGCGATAGATATTGTACGAAACATGATGTGTTTATTATAATTATTGTAAATGGGTAGACGTGGAAAGCGAAAAAATTGTTTTAGAAAAAAAAAAAAGAAAAAAGAAAGATATTGTACACAGAATGTTGCAAGAGCTACACTACTATTATACACTGCGGCGGCCGAATCGCGCGCCTCCCCTTCTGACACGCGCGCACCTAGTACGCACCTCCCTCCCCTGCCACCCGGGCCTCATCCCCGGGCGATGCCCGCGACCCCGAGACCCGCTCACGCACACACACGAGCAAGGTAGCATACATACACATACACTCATATAACGTACCATCGCCGTGCCCTCCCTTCGTTCCATCACACTTACTCTAACCACCCTCGCCGACAAATTTCTCGGCCTTGCCTTATACGCACACAAGCACATACAAGCTCGCGCGCGCGCAATCCCTCTATACACAGCGCTCACCCGTCACACACAACCATTCCACTACCCATCCGCCCCACCACCGATAGGCAAACTATCCTTCGAAAGTTTATATTAGCTGACGCCGCCGCGTGACGTCAACCAAAGGACGCCGCAGCATTTGCGGCTCCAGTGTGTCCGTATCGTAGCTGCGCTTATCTGACTCCAGCGGACGCAGGCTGCTCTTGGTGTTTCAACACTAGCACACACAAACGATCGTGCGCGCGCATTTACGCAAAGGCACACACGTATACGTAACCCGACTATCAAAAGCGCGTGCGCTCAAATATCATTATACGAATGTATATATATATATAAATACCTATTATACATTAATAGTGTATAGGTACTGTATTTTGTTATACATTATAAAGGTATACCTATAATACGCACCCAAGATCTTTTAAAACGCTTTTTGCACCACGCACAACGTTCATAATATATAACCAGTTATGGATATCCGGCCATAACTGCGTTAACTGTGGTCCGTAGTATAGGTATAATATTAGTAGATATATTGGTTTTTAGTAGCGTGTTTTTTATTTATTTTATTTTTTTTTTTTTGGTGCCACTTATCTTTATATATTTTAATGGGGAGGGCAGAGGTATCATTCCCCCCCTCCAAGCTAAGCCAATACTAAAAATCTTTAAATCTTCTAAAACAAAGAAAAAATGCAATACATAGACATAAATTTATGAAAAAACTGTTTTTTCCTTGAGTTATTGCGTAGGTATATAAGTCCATTTATTTCATGTTTTTCCTGTCGTATAATATGTTTGTCTATTGTTGACGTCATCACTCATCGTTTTATCTGGATTACAAAAAATAGGTAACCCAATATTATTTTGTAAATATTATAATTACAGGATTTTAATCGTTACATTTTTATGATGAATAAATTATTTTGTCTTCTTTTCCTAGTTTTTTACCCAGTTACACCACTGGTTACATTTATACATGATGTTTCATTACAACTTACTTACCTAGTATCTAGTTACCTAGTAACTACTAATATAATTCTGTGAACCTGGACGAGTAGGCACAACAAAAGATTATGATTATGATTGGTTGAATTAAAATAATGCACTCAATTAGATATTATAAGTATTTCAAAGAAACCTTTTTTCATATATGTATATATAGGCATAAAGCTGTTTTTAACATATAACAAGGTGTAATAGTGTATATTTAATATTCGATTTTGTTATATTTATAACGATAAATTAATAAATTTCTACAGAGTACAAATTACGATACGTTTATGGTTTTGGTTTATCATTTTTTTCCAACTACATTTACGAATACTAATAATAATATAGATAATATAAGCTATTCTAGGTTCATATTTTGTCTATTGCATTACATTTTTTATTCTTAGATCTGTACATGATGCAAATGAATGAACAGACCGTCTGGAGTCTATGCATCACATACATTATACATGTCAATACCGCGTAATTATAATTACTAAGATATTGTAATAGGTACTGTTACGGGTAATATATTGAGTCATATCGGAATGTATAACTTTTTCAAATTTCGTACTGTTGTCAAAATGTTTTGCTCGTATTTGAATTAAAGCTATCTCCATGATCCTGTGTAGGTACATACATAATTACTGATTTTGTCCAAAATATATAACCCATGGTAAACTCATAAACCTAATGCAGTAATGCAAATATATATATTTAAGAGTTATAATACATATATTTACATTAGGTATTAACGTACTGTAGTAGATTAGGGAATTATTAGTCTACCGAGTTATAGAACTTTTACTAGCCCATACCTAAACCCCGTTAAAATAAGTCAGAACAATTAAGTTTAGGTAATATTTATTAGTATAAAATACATTATTTATAAAAAAACTTATTGTAAGTAATAATGTTCCAATTTCAAAATAAAAAGAAAAAAGACGTAATATAGGTATCTACTATCTACCTATAAAACAAATTTATAAATATTCCACTTTAAGCAATTTTAATATTATATATATACCAATTCGAAATTACGTAGATAGAAAGGTATCAATGGGACACTAGATGGATACAAAAAAAAATTATCAATTTATCACAACTCATGTTGAAAAGTGTCTAAACACTCTAAACAACTATCTCTTATTCTTGCACATTCTCATCGGCTACCGACCATCCTTTCTCGTAATTCAAATGACACCACTAATACCTATAGGTACCTATTGTTTATATCAATAATACCTATATTGACTGTATTAATATATTTATAATAAATGTATTAATATATAAGTTGCTATCATAGGCATCCCCAAGGGGGGGGGATCAAGACGGGGCATTTGCCCCCCCTTAAAATAGGTCTATCTATGTTGCTATATGACAACGCACGACGTTAATGGGATTTAATATAACATAATATATATATATATATTGTATATAGAAGAAAATTATCTTTAATAATAATTGAATTATTGTATCTTATCGTATTTTTTGAGTGTTCATATGGCAATAAATTATTAGCTGCTTGCTGGTACATTGTGTATATTAGAAAGTAGAATAATATATAAATAAAAATAATAATAACTAATTATAATAATGACGAAACATAATAATGTAATATAAATAAAATGTATAAAAAGATTTTCATTTATGTTTTTAAATTAATTTTGCCCCCCTAGAAAAATGTCTGGGGACGCCCATGGTTGCTATCATTTTAATGAAAGCCTAACTTAACTATGAACTAATAACTAGGTGTCGAGTTTTACAAAATAGTTTATAAGTTTATCTACATAACATATCAAATTGGTAGGTATTATTATACTCTGAAATGGTATTGATAAAAAATGTATACCTATATTATAATAATGCAATACTCACGATTAATAATTTATGTATATCTTTGAACCTTAGAACTCATAACTTATAAGTTAAGACAGAGTAAAGTATATAATATCATATATTTATGTAATAATGAAAATATGTAATATATTATTTTGATTAAACAATTTTTAACACACCGTTATTTTTAGCAATGTAATGTCATTAATGTCCACAATAGGCATAATAGGTAGGTAGTAACTAATAGGTACCTTATAAACTATTAACCAGGTAATAGATAATAACCAATTATTAAAACCAGATTACATCAAATTATACTAGAAATCTACCTAATAAATAATGATAACTACCAACTTGAGATTAAATGAGATATTAATTCATACTTAATAAATAATTATGAAAATACAGTCGTCACTCGTTAATTCGAACCTCGATAATTATTCGAAAAACTCCATAAATCGAACTAAACGCTAAATCCCCTGAGAAAACCTCTATAATTAAAAGAAAATGCATGTATTCCGGTCCCTCGATAATTCGAAATGTCTGACGGTGGGACACACTCTACAATTTGAATTTTTATTCCATAAACCTCTATAATTCGAATTTCCATAAACGCGATTATATGTAAGTACATATGCATGTACAATGTACATACATATGAAGATAACGTACTATCTATTTGACATAATCGTAATGAAACTTATAACATTGGTGGTTTAATATTATCGTAGTTAATAAACGTTATCGTACTTTACCTACCTAATCTAAACTTTTGTCAGGATTAAGTCAATTTTTTGAGTAATCTGAAATGAACGAAAAAAGATGCGATACAATTTTCAATGTTATCAATAAGTTAGACAACGCTATGGACCAAATTGTGGCCACTGGCCTACAATTTATCACAAAAAAAAAAAACAGATTTCTTTAATATGTAAAATATAATAATAAAATAAACAAATATCAATTAATAATTATAAAATATAATAATATGTATGTATGTATATTTTGTATAATAAATAGATGTCAAAATAAATGTAATATGTACATACATACAATAATTTTTCACCTCTCTTTAATTCGAATTAATTATTTTCCCTCAATTATTCAAACATTCGGTAAATCGAAAACCTCTATAAATCGAATTTTTAGCTTGGTCCCCTGAATTTCGAATTATCGAGTGACTACTATAAATGCATTAATATTAATAGGTAGGGGGTGGAGTGGGAAAAAAATTCGGGCCAGGAAAATACATTTCTTCCAGACCATTCAATATTTTCATTTCTTGAATAAAATAGAAAAAAAATTTCTAACTATACTCTTCAGGCCAACGGGCAATTTGGCTTCCAGGCCATCAGGATTTTCCCCAGTATCCTGGTGGGCCACTCCGCCACTGTAACGGGCATGTAGGTACTATAAGTACTGGTAAAAAAACAAATCTACTAGAATGTTTTAAAATTATACAGCTTTTACAATTAGAAATTGTGAAAATAGTTTTTATACGGTAGAGACAACATATTTATAACTCATGAATAATTGGAAATATAATTAAATGTATTTCTTAAGACTTATTGGTAAGATTATTGGATAGACACTTACCTACAAGTAGAGCTATGTATTTCAATATAGGTAGCTAATGTATAATTTGTTTTTATAACTTGATAAATAGTTTACTCTATAGATTATTAATTTCAATTAATAATTACATTTACTTAGAAAAAAACTTGAAAAATCTCTCTGGTGTATAATACCTAGATATTAATAATTATAGCTAATTATTAATTAAATTACTAAAAGATGTGTTAAATTTGTATACAATGATAAATCACTGTATACAAAAATAATTTTAAGCTAAGAACTTCTGTTAGCTTGTTTCA